TGGCAGAACGAATTCTTCTACTGTAGCTGATCACTGTTACAGCGCTGTGAGTGATCATGAAATTGTTTTCTCTGATACCAAGGTACTCTGCAAACCTACAGGTTATTACTAGAGATTTGTCCACGAGGCCATTCAGATATACAAACACAGACACAACTTCAACTGAGAGGATGCTTTCAAATTAAGCAACCACTGGAAATATGTTTTAAATCAAGCCAAACGTTAGCTTTCGTGTTCAAAAATGGAGTGTGCTTGCACCCCACTGCCTCCTCCAACCCCCCTGCAGCATAACAAAATGGTTTGTCCCTAACATTGTACAGCGCACCCCCCCCCCTCCCTCCGAACCCCCTGCGACAAGTGACGGCGAAAAATGGAGTGTGCTCGCACTCCACTGCCTCCTCCCAACCCCCCTGCAGCCGAACATTGTACAGCACACCACCCCCCTCTCTCCGAACCCCCTACGACAAGGGACGGCGAAAATGGAGTGTGCTCGCACCCACCCACGTTCTCCGTGGTGTTAATCCCTCATACTAACATGTTGAGATGTAAACTGCTGCTATCCCTCAAACATATGTAAACTGTTCTCCCCCCTCTTCCGTTCCCACACTAACATCATGCTAATCCCCCAGTTACATGCTAATTTATATGTAAACTTATTTTGTCAAGGCGCTCTCTTCCTCCCACAGCTTAAAAGACGCTGTCCATGCTTAGCAGTGTTCACTCAAGCGCTGTCTTCCGGACAGTCCTGCTTCTTCATCTGATGAAGGCTACTTGTGTTGTGGCCGAAACGTCGTGATTTAATTGTTTTTTCGACTTTTTATTTTATTCTACCTACGTGACTTTACCGAATAAAACCAAACATTAATCATGAGCATGTGACGTCACTCCACATGGGGAGCCGAGGCGCCTCCTCCCCCCTCCTCGGCATCAACTTACAACCCTCACTACAAAGGCAGAATCCTCATGTCACACGATCTCCGTAACGCTATTGAGACATCAAAGTAAAAGGACGTCATGAACAAGGGATTATAACCTTAAAATGAAATAAGTCTGTCTCCGCGCCCTTACAAATTGCACACGCATTAATGCAATGAATATCACGTCGCAGTCTGCTTTTCGCTTGCAAGTTTCAGATTTACTGCAATACACCCATCCTTAGATGGGAAAAAAGGGTAGTTATGAATCATACTGGTCACGAAAGCCTACGTGTTAAACCCAAAAATAAATTAATTAATTACGATTTTGACTTCCGTTTATTCAGGATCCCGGGGTCCTGCCATAAGGTTAAATTATACATATTGTTAATATAATTTTATATAAAAAAGTGTACTATTAATTATATAAGTACATATTGTTTCCTTTAAGTATTGTCATGTCAGGAACTAGAAGGTTCATAGAGGCATTGGAGATGTTTTGGGCGGATGTTTGTTAAATGTTTTTCGATATCTGCATTGTTGTAACGTGGAGGGCGCGTCTGGTCATTATTGTAGATACGCAAATGCCCTAGGAAGAACACTTTGAAATAAAGTTTTACGGTTCCACATACCTCTGGTGCTCAGCTGTTGTGGAGTCGCACACATCTCCGGAGGACAGAACACAACACGACGTACCTATTCATTGTCTCCGAACGTTATTATTTTTATGTTTAGCTCACCTGTCCCCGTCGTTAGGATTCGTGGGAGGAGAGGGACGGGGCAGACCGGCTACAAATGTGTAGTATCATAAAAGATGTCGCTATAGAGTCAGTACCAGGTAAGGGAGGTACTGTATGTGCGGGGCCCCCTCCTCGCACTCGGTGGGGGGGGGGGCGTGGCCAAGGAGGAAGCCGGCCCACGCGGGAACGGATATAAGGCGGGACCCAGAGAGGAATCGTGGTTGTTCGTGGCTGGGAATCGTTGGTGATGTCCAAGCCTGGTCCTCGTCTCCGGTCTTCAAGTACATCGGCCAGGCAGCACGTGGCTGTCTGGTCCGATCGTAGTCTTCAACAAAAGCGTGTGGTTACCACCCAAGGTCATTCTGTTACGGTGCGCTGTTAGTGTTAAATACATGTGTTGCCTCGAGAGAAGGTGTGTGTCTCAATCGAACCTGCTACAAATGTAACCCATCTAACCCTGACTTTCAAGGTAGACTATGATGGCGCATGTCCATAAACGGCAAACAGTAGGACGGCAAGGAAATAATATACTTGTGTAAGGCCACATAATCGTATATTTTATTAAAGATGCACGGTTGGCTACATAGAGTGCAAAATAAGTTTGAAATACATGCATAAAAGAAACATGCAATTAAACTGTAATTCTATAATTTCCAGCGAGCAGAATAAGTATTATTATAAAATGTGTTTGTCTTAAGTTCAGGAGTAGATATAACTAGTCCACTGAATCGCAAGAACACACTTTTCCTATCAATCAAACATGCCTTCAAACATAAAGATGGGCAAGTCTCTAAATAGTGTTGTGTGCTCTAAGGCAGGATCTAAATCTAAATAACCTGGCAATTTGATGCCATATTGCTTTTTTCAGTGCACCACATATGCAATATTACAAACACTATATGACAATTACCCAAATGATCATGCCAAATGTAACATGCATAGAGAGCCTTGTAGCATCGGTTTTTAACTCATCGGTTATCAACTTAAATGTAGAAAACACCAACAACAAGAACTAACGTGTGCCGGTTAAGGCGGTGGGGGATAATTGAGAAATTACATTAGTCAACATTACATGACTACATCAACACGTCAAGATTGATAATCAAAAATAAATGACAATGTTTAACATGCTGTACAGATGACAATTCATGGGAATACGGTTCATTGCCTTGAAACAAGGCGTTCCCAAGACTTAATTGCAAGGGTTTACTGATGAGAATGTTTCATTGAATAACAAAAAACATGCTCAAAGGGGTTTAATTTGGATACAATATTTTAAACACAAGGTCACTGCTGGAGTTAGGATAAAAAAAATCGTATCAATGAGGAATATAGCATTTTCTCTCTTAGGAAAAGTTTCTCATTTCCACAATGTTTGTAAAGTACTGTACTGGAAATACATCACAGGTTTGCTAGGTGGACACCATTACTCTGAGAGTGTGGAAACATTTCTATTTTTTGGTGAGAATAGCAAGAGAAAGGCCATCAGCCTGAAGGAGAGGTATGCGAGTGTGGCGCATGCCCCTCCGCTACCCAGCGCCTCTCCCAGATGGGACATGCGCACGAACGCAGAGGTCACGGACTGGAAGGCGTGGGCCCAGGAGCGGGCGCCGTACAGGCCGTGCAGAGAGAGGCTGTAGGCGCACAACAGCACGACCAACAGCAGCAGTTTGCTCTTGACTCGCGTCTCAGAGCACAGCAGAGGCAGCGCTAGGCACCGCCTCGCTCCACGGTGGAGGAGCTGGAGAACCTTCAGGGACTCCACGAACACCAGCAGTGCCAGCACTGCCTTGAGACACTCGTCCAGCGAGGCCAGCTTGCCGAAGGTCACATTGCCACCTGGGAGATCACACATGAACGTTCAAATTTAAACAAATGTAATTGTACGGTGAAACCCCTGCTTGCCAGATTTTTTATTCAGCCGGAGCAGGGCAGTTTCAGTTTATTTTGGTATAGCCATGTGAGCCATTCGGCTCTTGAATCGGGTGCAACCACAACAAAAAAAAACACGAACAAGAAAAACATCTTAAAGTGACTATGTGACTGTGCAAACAGAAAATCCATGAAAAAAAAACACGTAAACGGAGGCAAAGGCAGCGAGAGATAGAAACACGAAGGGAAGAGGCAGCAAGAGGTGTTTATTTTAGTACTATCAACATCTTAACAGCGATAGGCACAGCATGTTGTAACGGTACCGAGTCATTTGCCCAGTGCCCTGCCCCCCCTCGCCCGGCTGAGCCCGATGCACTCGGCTCGGCCTCATGCTGGCCCCGGCTAGTCTGGACCTGTTTTGATGGAATCATGAACGTGCCTGGTGTCCAGGTTATATGGCTTATAGGCAGGGATCAACAGTCTTTACGTGAATCATGGCGTTGTCCCAAACATGTTTTGTGGATCTCCATATGTATGCTGCTAGGTGTTGCTGTGATTCGAGATCACAAAAAAAACATTTCGTTATCCTGGAGAAATGCAATGAACTATAAAGCTCTTTTTCATAGATGTCCAGTAGGGGTGGGTCAGAAAATTACAACAATCAGACATTTGCAACAACTCAAGGCCAGAAGGATAATAATTAACTTCCTAATCCTGGGTTACATCAGTCCATACTTCATGGTCAATAAAATGAGAATAACTTTGTGGAAGTCAACAAGCAGCACTTGGTCTCTAGGTTGATTTGCCCCCTAAGTATAGTGTGTGGAATTTAACTCATTGGCTTCGGGCTGAAAAGCACTTTTTAGATAATAAATGTGATTGTATATGCGACAATGAGGGATTATCTAATAGTAAGTCTTGTGAAGTCTAAAGATATTTAGATTTCCCAAAAAATTGCAATTTGTTAAATATATATTGGGCTAGATTTCGATTTTTGTTAATTGAATATATAACAGTCAATGTAGATCTAAATAACATTGATATTTTATATGAGAATCCTTTTTATGTCTTCTATTCAAGTATGATAATAGGTTTTTCCCTTTTTTCTGGCAACGGTGTTAGACCGTTGAGACGAGGCTCAAAAGAAAGATGTCTCTGGTGTGGACCAATCAGTTTGAAAGACAATGCATATATTATCAGACTATGTTTTTTGTTTGCATTCTGACCACAAGTATTGTGGCTAATGCAGATATGATTCCTTGTAAAAGGTTTCAGTTTAGTGTTTTAACATCTTAACACCTGTTTTGTTGCCAGAAAAAAGGGGAAATCCTATTATCATATTTTGGTACTGGCAAAGGTGGTCCCATGATCTATTCAAGTACTTTGGAATAATAAGTAGTTTTACCTTGTACATGAACTAGACAATTCTACCCTGAGGCCCGAGACAACCGTTCAATGTTAAGTTATACAGTATTTAGATAACATCTCCACTGTACATACCTTGAGTGTGTTTGAGAAGAGTCTCTTTGAGAGCCACATATGATTTGTAATAGATTGTGACCAAGGTTACCCTTAGGACAAAGCTGGTAATTTCCACCAAATGGATGGCATTGCTAAAGTAGGCCATTTTCTCTTTCTTAAATTTCAGAATTTCGTCACCCAAGAGAAGTAAGCTCAAGACCGAAATTGAGGTATAAGCAGCCATGGTAACCACAAACCAAATATTTTCACTCATATGTATAGAAAACACTGCGAGATGGCCTTGTGGTGTTGCAACACCTATAAACGAGACAGACAAAAATTAAATAATGCAATTAAAACGGGAAAAAAACCTTTATTCAGAATATTCAGTTGCCATTTAATTGAGGTCATGAATAGATAAATGTATTAAACTGCTGATAGAAAGCGCAATAGGTTTATTTGAAGCACAGCTAGAGTGTGCATGCATACCCGGACAAATGCTTGCACCAGCTGCGCTTCAAAAGCACCTGCCACGCTTTAAAATATGTAATTTTGCATTGCAGTGCCTCGCAAATTTTAGGAGGAATTAGCAACACGATTCCAAAAATCCCCCAAAAATGTGCAGGTTGTAGGAGTTTTTAACCACCTAAAATTTTCAAAAATCGTGTGAAAATTCTCGGATTCCTAGATATTTGTCCCCTGCAAATTGTGGGAGTTGCCTCGAACTGTACACCGTACATTTTAGGACTTGCGGAGTTTTAGCCTTTGTAATGTTAAGTTCTTTGGCACAGATATAAAAACCAGCTTTCTGTCAAACCTGGACCAGAGCATTTTTAACTGCCATTTTCAGACCACTTCTACTCAGGATATTGCAAATCTCGCAGAGTGATGATTTAGGCGTGTGCACTCCATCAGGTTTTAGCTTATGTGAATCTTAGGAATGCCCATGCCACATATCTAGAAATGAAGATGCAAACATAACTATATTGCATTGCATTGAGCAGTGCTATAGCATGGACGGTACAGTGTTGGGTGGCTGCCTCGAGTGGGACACCGTAGCAGAGTTGTAAACGAATCAAGCAGCGGCTGCTGTCAGCTACTTAAGGTGTTGTTGTGGTAGTACTGGTGGCGCATTAGCATGGGGCGGTGATGGCACCGAACGGCAGTTCTCTAAAACAACGGGTCCTCAGATTCGGCTGACCGTGACATCATGAATATAAATATAGCCATGACAATAGGCACGAATAAATGAATGTGAGCATGACAGTGGTCATGAGTAAATGGACATGGGCATGAAAATGGGTATAATCCAATCGGGGCCGGTAAATTATTTCCAATCAGAAGGAGGGAGAGGGAATTGAAGCAGGCAGACTTTGAGGTATTTTCTGCTGGCGATGAGGGAGGCTACACAGCTTGACCAATTAAGGAGTTGGTGCTGATACGACCCACGTGCGTGATGCCTGATCGGCGCTCCACAACTGGGTATATTACCACTGCTCAGGGTGAATGGTGCACACATGAGTTCGGATGCCGCATTTTATTTTAGGGTAAATAAAAATCCACAAAAACATACTGAAGTTGTTTGTGTGTATTAATTGCTAAGGCATAGCTATCGCAAGAATATGCACTATTCAACTGCTATCATTAGTGGTTTAATACAGGAACGTAATTTGAAGTCTCCCTGTTCTGGGTCGGCGAATACGGGATGATTAATTGCTTGTGCAGCAAAGTGCCTGCTCACAATCGTGTGTTCCTGAGCGCGTTTGACTGTACAACGGCCTTATTTGATTACTACATATGCAGGGAGTTCTACATTATTGCGTAAACATGCCAAGCTGTGAATGGACTTGCAGATGTTAAAATTCCATGATTAATTGTGGGAGGCTGTTGAGTGGTAGTGCATGCCATTGTGTAGTATTTGTGCTGCGTGCAAGCATGCATGTGCGTGCTATTGCACTTAGTGGGGTAAATACACTTCCCATTGAAAACTCCCCCACTGAAGGATCATAACCTTATCGTGGTGGTCAGGTTTGCATGTTCCAATGACCCTCAGAGCTATATCACATGGAGTCTTGTACTCCTGGTAGGGTCTCCCTTGACAAAGAGGTCTGGGGGGAGGTTTCAGACCAATAACAGTCAAAAATAATTGCCCCTATGAATGGTTCAAAAATAAATAAAAAAAATCAGAGAACCTCGCCCAGACACCACCCCTAGGCCTGGAGCCAGGCCTGGGGGGGTGTTCGCCGGCAAGCACCTGGTGGCTGGATGACCCACGTAATCCAGTTCGGCCAAGCCCAAAATGGCTGTGTAGCGCCGTTCTGTAGGCCCACCATCCGCAGGACCAAGGGTGAGGGGTGGCTACGATGCCAATATGGCAGGGAGAGAGATGGTCTCAGATGGACTGGACTTTGGCAATGGACACTCCCTATTGGGATGTGGAATGTCATGTCACTGGGGGGGGGGGGTTCAAAAATAAAGGTGGAAAGGTACCGACTACGATATAATCGGTTTCACCACCACACACAGCATTGTCAGTAGAACCAAACTTCTCAATTGGAGGTAGTTTCCTATTCCGGAATAACCCCTGGTGATACTCACAAGCTCCTGGCTGGGTACTGTTCAGTTGAAGTTCGTCCCAGTGGATGAGAGGGTCGTCTCAATGAGACTTCTGGTCTCACAAAGGAAAATTCTGTGGTCTGTGCTTATGCACCAAACAGCTGTTCAGAGTATTTGGCCTTCTTGGAGATCTTGGTTGCAATGCTCAATAGAGTGCCGCCTACCGACTCCATAGTCTTACTGGGTGACTTCAATGCTCACGTGGGAAGCGATGGAGATACCTGGAGAGGCGTGATTGGGAGGAATAGCCCCCCTGATCTGAAGCCAAACGGTGAGATGTTATTGGAATTCTGCGCTAGTCACAGAATGTCAATAACAAACACCATGTTAAAACACGAGGATGTTCATAAGTGTACTTGGTACCAGAGCACCTTGGGCCGGAGGTCAATGATTAACATAGTTGTATCAGCGCACATAAGGCTGTATGTTCTGGACACTCGGGTGAAGAGAGGGGCCAAGCTGTCAACTGATCACCACCTGGTGGTAAGTTTGATCCGACGCTTGGAGCACTGACCATATAGATCTGGAAGTCCCAAACGAATAGTGCAGGTTTTCTGAAAACATCTGGCGGAAGACCCAGTGCAGAAATATTTCAACTTCTCCCTCCTGGAAAACTTCTCCTACACTTCAGGAGAGGTCATGGACATTGAGACCGAGTGGACGATGTTTAGGACCTCGATTGTTAATGCAGCTGCGAAAAGCTGTGGTCGGAAGGCAGTTGGTTCCTGTCATGGCGGCAACCCAAGACCCACTGGTGGACACTAGTGGTGAGGGAAGCTGTCAAGTTAAAGAAGGAGGATTTCCGAGCAATGCTTGGAAAAAGTTCTCCCGATTCTATGGAGAAGTACCGGCTTGCCAAGTGGGCGGCAGTGGTAGCAGTCGCTGAAGTGAAAGCCTGGGCATGGGAGGAGTTTTGAGAGGCAATGGACAGGCACTACTTGGAAGAGTAAAAAATGTTCTGGAAAACTATCCGATGCCTTAGGAGGGGTCGACGGGATGTGGCCCAGGCTGTTCTCTGTAAGGATGGCGTAACATTGAACTCAACGAAGGAGATAGTAAAAAGGTGGAAGCAACACGTTGATGAGCTCCTCAACCTGGTGGACATGCCCCCTCTCAAGAGGCAGCCCTGGAAACAGCTTGGGGGGAGGGGGGGGCGGTCAAGTCCATGATGACTGCTGAAGTTGCTGCGGAAGTTGAGGGTATTCATAGCGCCAAAGCTGCTGGGGTGGACAATATTTGCCCAGAATTGTTGAAAGTGCTGGACAGTGTTGGAGTGTCGTGGATAACATACCTCTTCAATGTTGCATGGAAGGCGCGTACAATACCTCTGGATTGGCAAATAGGTCCTGGTTCCCATTTTTAAGAAAGCAGACCAGAGGCTGTGCTCCAACTCCTGAGAGATCACACTCCTCAGCGTCCCAGGTAAAGCCTATGTCAGAGTGCTGGGGAGGAAGCTCCGCCCGGTGGTTGACCCTCAGATTCAGGAGGAACAATGCGGATTGTGTCATGGTCATGGAACAATGGACCAGCTCTTTTCCCTCTCACAGATATTTCAAGGGTCATGGGAGTATGCTTCTCTGGTCTACCTCTGCTTTGTAGACTTGGAGAAGGCATATGACTGTGTTTCCCACAATGTCTTATGGGAGGTGCTGCGGGAGTATGATGTACCGTTGCCGCTTTTGTGCGCTGGTCCGGTCCCTCTATTCCCGGAGTGAGAGCTGTCTGTGGTGTTAAATCACAGTCATTCACTGTGGGTATTGGACTCCACCAAGGGTGCGTCTTGTCTCCACTCCTGTTTGTGTTTTCATGGACAGGATATTAAGGTGCAGCCAATATATGGATAGTATCTAGTATGGGGGCATGGAGGTTGCATAATTGCTTTTTGCATATGACATTGTCCTCTTTGCCTCATCAATCTGTGAACTCCAGCGTGCACTTGAATGGTTTGATGCCGAGTATGAAGTAGCTGGGATGAGGATCAGCACCTCCAAATCTGAGGTCATGGTTCACTCCCCGGAGATGGTGGATTGTGCTCTACAGGTGAGGGGGGAACAGCTACCCTTAGTGGAGGAGTTTAAGTATCTCGGGGTCTCTTTCATGAGTGAAGGTAAGTGGGAGCGGAAGATTGGCCGGTGGATCCTTGTGGCATCCGCAGTGTTGCGGGCGCTGTACCATTCCGTGATAGTGAAGCGGGAGCTGAGTTCTCAAACAAAGTTCTTGGTTTACAGCTTGATCTACGTTCCCACGCTCACCTATGGTCATGATGAGATCGCGGGTACAAGAGCCGAAATGAGGTTTCTCCAAAGGGTTGCCAGGCTCACTCTCCATGATCAGATGAGCTTGGTAATCTGGGAGAGCCTCAGAGTCAAGCCACTGCTCCTCAGGATCGCGAGGAGCCAGTTGAGGTGGTTCAGGCACCTGGTATGGATGCCCCCTGGTTGAATTCCCCTGGAACTCTACGAGGCATGTCCAACTGGACGAAGATGTCGGGGCCGGCTCACGACACGCTGGTGGGACTATGTCGCTCGGCTGACCTGGAAACGCTTGGTAATTCCCCAGGAAGAGCTAGAGTCTGTCATCAGGGAAAGGGAGGTTTGGACCGCCGAACTCAACATGATGCCACCGCGACCTTCACTCGGACAGGTGAATGAGAAAAAAACGAATGGAACGTTTGAAAACTAATTTCTTTCAAGCAGCTTTTTGGGTTCAGTTTGTTGTCCTTTTAGTAGTGGCGTACACCATTGCCCACTGTCGGGTGGATGCAACAAAAAGGGGAGTTTCATGCCTATAAGGTGGAACTAAATGTTCCCATCTCTTGCTTGCATTAACTGAGTTGTGACAGGTCCCAAAGTGTCTAGCTACAGCTCTTCATATATATTATACAGTACTCTCCTCAATTAATGCCACACACTCACCAGATGGAGAGAAACCCAGAAGCAGATTTATATGGCAAAGCAGATTTGTGTTTGCGTTGAACACCGTTAGCTCTGTAGTGAGTGCCGCCGTGCGGGAGTCTAGCCAGGAGTTTTCCTTCAGGTACGTAAGAGTGTCGGTGGCGTTTGCTGCATCATTTATCAAGTCCACCAAGTAACCGTCACTCCCGAGTGAATCTGCAAAGAAACACCAAGCATTATCGCCACAGAGGAAAGCAATTTGAAAGCCCATTCTCCAGGTCGAGAATCTCATGGTATATCAATGCTTTGGAGCGTTTTACTGTGGGCATAAACGCAATCCCAAGTCCCCTTATATTTCACAAACATTTAAAAACGATTGTGCTCTATACACATTTTGTTTTCACTGAGTAGACCATTTATAACGTACAATATTAGAAATCCATGCTTTTTTCCAATTAGTATAACTTGCTTTCAAATAAAATGATATAAATTAGTTTAACATGTAGACTTTTGTGACCAATATCCATAATAAAGGTTATTTGGGTTAGATCTCGAAAATATAAATACGTAGTTAATTTAGACCGAAACAACAGGACTTCACAATTATGGTTATCGTCTGATGCAGCTGGTTGTCATCACCAGCGAAACAAACTCGAATTGTGAATGTGGTATTACCCTCCAACACACTGGTGTGCTGAAGTAGTAACTAATTGGCATGTGTTGTTTACGTGACAAACCTTACTAATTGGCTTTGTCAGGTAGTGGCGAGTCTAACGACACATTATACTTATGTGATCTAACCCAAAAAAAATCTTTATTATCAACATTTAAAATAATTACCTTTGAAATAAACTGTAGCAACAGAATCTTACCGAAGTTAGTTAGGGTGCTCTCTCCTTCCAGATTCTGGTAAATCCAGTATTTGTCTTTCTCATCATCTATTATGTTTGATGTTACCCAGGCCTTCGTATAGTTACTAGTGTCCCTTTCTGGTGGAAAGTATTCGACATCTTCCAACATTTTCACATAATTCATCTCACTTGGTGCTGTCATTAATACAGACACAACGTGAATTTATACTTCATTAAAGAAAAAATATGCAGCAGTTAAGGTAAATTAAGTCGAGAATAACATTGAACATGCATTTCAAAGAGCATGTCCCTGAGTGTTACTGTAAGCTTTTTCCTCAGAAACTTGGTAGACATTGTAAAATGCAATACAACTCAAATTAAAATGTATTTTTAACACTTGATTATTTTTTTCTATTCAGAAAATAATCTCAATTAACTGTATATGTATAGTTTGTGAAACAAATATTGTTTAACCATTTGATTTATACCACTATGTAAAGTAACATTGCGTATCATAGCACGTGTTTTTTAATGGAAAAAATGTAAAACAACATACAATTTATTCTGGAATAGTGAAATGCAAAAGTGTTTACCTTTTGTGTATCTCTTCTGTCTCAACTGAACCAGCCCAATTAAAACAATTTCAAAGGACTTTGTCTTGTAGAGATAATTGTTTTCGGCAACTGTTCTGGAATTGGTTTGAATCATGTATGGTAAGACTGACTTAGACACCCAGTCCCAATAGTCTGGGATATCAGCAACCTGGAGGGAGAAAATTATATCTGAGAATATTTAGTCCCACTAAAATAGAACATGATTTAATTAATTAACTTTGGCAAAAGGGGCTTTTCTCTAAGTGGATAGTTATTTTTGCACTTTTAACTAAAATATTGCATTGAAACAATCTGTGGGTATTCGAACAAAGTAGATGAAAAGTAACAGTTAAACACCAGCGAAACTGCAAAACCTTGAGTTCATATAGTACTTCTGGAAATATAATAATGCTTGATATAGTACTTGTTTTTTAATTTTTAATATGGCTTTGGTTTGACGTCTGTGACAGAATTTGAGCATGCATATGTGAGTGTTTTGTGATCTCCAAGTGAATGGTGCTTTAGAAGTGTGAATTAGTATTGATATCGATGTAAATTAAACCAAACTATTTGATTTATCAGGTAAAGCCCACTGAGCTATTAGCTCTTTTTCAGAAGCTACCTGGCCACAAATTATAGCTCAACGAAGTGGATTATCGTGTGGAAATTTATATCACCCAAATAATCTAAACGCTTGTTTCTAATCATCACATCACATCTCCGAAGCGAATCAGGCTCAGGCCTAGGCCGTACATGATGGGCGACCACTGCAAAGCAACAGGGTTGTCATAGCTCTATGGGTCTCTGGTGGGCAGCAGAGGGAAGTGTGAGAACATAGTTTTACTGTACTTGTATACCACCGTGTCTATGCTCCCTGATTTCACCAACCTGCACTTAACACAGTGGTGAATTAGGATCAATAACAACCATGCCCTGAATATATGTAGAACTTCTTTCACACCATACGTAGCCAACCGTGCCAATCGGAGATGCAGGAGGACAACAAACAGAAAACGCAATTCTAAAGATATGAGTTTTCAATCTTTTATCAATCCAAAGCCCTCATCCAGCATACAATTTCTAAAATAGCTGCACATGCTCATTAACACGTTCGTTTAATATTTTGGAGCTCGCATTTATAATCTTCATTATGTAGATTTAACTTATTTCGCACCATACGTAGCCAACCATTAAGTAATAGAATGTATACACGTTGTATTTAATGCGCTGTATACGTATATCTTTACCTCTGCAATAATGTTTACTTCTGTATAAAGTGAAGTAAAATGTGTTATAAATTTCGATTTAAAGCTTTCGTGACTGCAAGGATTCATCTTCTTTGGTTCTTTCGGTAAAGTCACGTAGAATGAGAATAAAATAATAAATTGATAAACGAGACTGTCAGACAGTCTCATCCCTTCACCTGATGAAGGCCGCTTGTGTTGTGGCCGAAACGTCGTGAGAATATTATTGTGTTATTTTATTTTATCAATTTATTATTTTATTCTCATTCTACGTGACTTTACCGAAAGAACCAAAGAAGGTGTTATAAATTGTCAACGGATGTAAATATTGTTGTTATATTGACAACTTAAAACAAGTATCGACTGTATATGCTGCACTCTTAAATAGCGGAAAATGGATTGCACTTACGGTTTCAAATTTTCTTGTAATGAATGTTTTCTCTGTATTCGTTTTAAAATGAATCGCCGAACCATTCACATGTGTGTATGCTACAAAGAACAGCGGCACCAGGTAAAGGACACTAAAAAGTATCTTTAGGCGCAGTAACTTTTGTAAAGTCCGTCCGAAAATGAGGCATTTTGCCTTTGCAAAAGATGGCTCTATTGGAAGAAATACAATTATATGCATTGACAATTAAACCGACATTATTTTTTACCATTTTGTTATGAACAAAAATGTATTAAATTTTACCTCCCCAGATAATTGTTTTAATTTACCTAACCTAAAATAAAATTATAGGAAGAGCATTAAGCATTCCCTCTCATTAAACCTCTTTCCGTTCCTCTCTCAAAACTTACCTCTTCTCTATTGCCCATTCTCTTCCCTCCTCCCCTCACCCCTCCACTCCTGCCCGTCCCTCTCCTACCTCCCCCCCACATGATCCCTAAGTACCCCTCTATGGCAGCCACTTATTCATCACGCCTTGCACACCCCTGCTATCTAAATCATTCTGTTCAGTCACCGTTGTTTTTACTATGTTAAGTGCATTGAGTGAAGGCACTCTTATAAATATAAAATAAACATGTGTTCGAAGGTAATTCGGCATTTATTACAACATTCATTATTTCATGGTACTTTTTTTGTACGATATTAATATTGGAAGTTCCACAAGAAAGCAAAATTCTGTATAACATCGAAGTATTAACCTACCTTGCAGTTGGCTTGGGTGCAGAGTACTGTGAACCTCTACGTACGGTTTTATTATCTCTCGGTTGTGAAAATGTTTTGCCTTTTTCCACAGTAAATACTTGCCAAATGCAGAGACAATGTTCTGCAAAAATAATTGTTCCAGTATTTAAAAATACAACTATAAATTAGGTAATATTCTGATAACATCAACATAACAATATCTATTTTAGACCTTTGTCAATCCATTGCTAAAGGCCCCTTGCCATGTCAGTAATTGAGGATGACAATATTTAAATTGTTGTCATTAAGAAATATATACATACTTGATAATTTATCAGTGAATTATTTAATTAGCACATACACAAGCAGCCAGTCTCTGTCTCTGAAAGAAATGAATGTGAATTATGACTGGGAATACTGAATGTCATTGCAATACCTATCCTCTGACACTGTAACGTCTTTTCCACCGTGAAGCCTAGCCTTGACCTTCTAGTAATGGCTAGTCCATTTTATAACAGGAAAAATTAAATGATGTCATGAGACATGGCACAATTTCCACTCCCAGCCCCTGATGTAGGATTAGCTTCTATTTGTAGAGCAGATGGGCACCTGCGCATTGCTCACAGAATATTGTGCTTAAAACGTGCTCGTGAATGATGTAAAAAGGGTTTTATGGAATTACTGCTGCAAGCCACACACTTTTATTCACGACATCAGATTTGATTATGGGCTCACAATAATACATTTTCTACTTTTGAATGCAAATAAAGTGTGTGCATTGAATTTTTTGTTTTTACCTATTTCTTTGCGTGAAACCTATATTAACTATTTAATTTTACCAGGTAAGGCTGACTTGAGCTATATAGCTCTTTTTCAGAAGCGACCTGGCCACAAATGATAGCCCAAGGAAGTGGCTTATAATACAGACATTTGTATCAGGCTAATACTCAAAGCACATGTTTCTAAACGTGGAGGGAAAAACTGAAGGATCTGGAGAATAATCCACACCAGCACGAGAGGAGAGACACATACTCCAAATACACAGGCGTTAGGGTCAGGATCGAGCTCACGCCCTCCTCTATATCAGGCGAGGTAGTTAATAGCTCACCACCGCGAGACGTTAACTGTGCAGAACAGCATCACGATTACCCTCAACGCCTATGAACAAATCACCTGGACTTGGAATGCGCCCGATCTGGTTGGACCTCGAAAGCCAAGCAGATCTGAGCTTGGGCAGTGCCTGAATGGGCACCCCCAAGCACAAACAGGCTGTCATAGGGCTGTGGGGCCACGTTGTGTTTATATCCAGTTGTACTATACGTCTATGCTGGCCGCCTTTATTAATCTGCACTGACTACCCAGGGTGAAGTATAGTCAAACGGCCTCCACAACCAGCACGGCGTGAGGAGGCCCTCATCCAGCAGTAAATTGACAAAACGTGTCTATGCTCAGACGGGCATTGTGCGGCGCTCATCTCCACCAGTGGAAATTGCATATTCCCATGACAGGGACCATCTTTAACAATCACTGACGACTTCACACAAAGTGGTACCTATTTTATGACTGCAGAGATGACAATGATGGCTTGCCTATGTCAGTATTATTATAATTGTTGTTATCGCGCTAAGGAAGCGAGAACCACAGCGGCCGCTCCGGCGCCATGGCGAGCGGTGATATAAGCCCCTTTTATTGGTCATACGTTCCCCAACAACAGCCGCTCTGATTGGACAACAAGTTTCCTCGCGTAGCTGGTCGCGACCATTCGTGATTTTATATGGGGGGGGGGGGGGCGTGTATGAGTATTAATTATTAAAATGTACTTAAAAACACAAATAGGCCCAGGATTGGCAGGACCTGAATCGTTTTTTTCAATGAAATCTTGAACTGTCACGCGAGACGAGTCTGTGTAGAAAATTCCAGCTCATTAAGCTTCATAGATATGAAGATATTAAGCGTCAAAGATTTGAAAAACTATAAACAGACAACAGGGCAAGTTCAATACAATTGTGTAGTAATAATAATTAAAAAAACACTCCATGAATCAGACCCAAATTATCTGCTTTTATCCAGTTCCCAGCTCGGGTTCATCCATTTCCTTACCTGAAATGTATACTTTTGATTTACTCCATAAGAATTGATTTGCTGTTCGTAGAAATAATTAATATATAAACAATTCTCCAGGTTTTAACAATTCCAATCATCTGTTTTACCGTTTGTATACATACTGTGTTGTAAAACATCTAATGTTTGTACTCTACAGCAGTGTTAATTCATATGTACTGATGTCTTTATAAGCTTTTACCTTCATGGGTTGAACCAATATTACAGATATTATGAAGGATGAGAGGAATCGAATGAGCCAGCGATTTGCCTTCTCTGGGCCCCACTCCATGCTGTAGAGGATCGTGAAAAAGCCAGAGCTCAGGACAGCGAGAACCACGAGGCACCAAGCTACACATCTGCAGCTACCGGGCCAAGGGCCCCTCCAGGAGCTCTTCTGGCCTGGAGGCCGCTCACTCTCCGAGCGGCTGTTGCGGAATATGAGCACGACCACGAGGCTGACGGGCACCTCCACCAGGCTGCTGAGGAGGCTGATGAGGACGTCGGTGAGAGACAGCGGCCCCACCGCAACCCCACCTCCCGCCTCGCTGGCTGCCTGCTTCTTGCCGAACCACATGGCATTGGCAATCATCATGAGGAAGAGGAGTGTGATGCAGCAGGAGATGCGATGCACGCGGGAGAAGTTGGTCTTGAATGGGCGGATGAAAACAGAAAACCTTGGGAGGGAATTGAAGAGGTTCAATGGAAAACTTCTACATTTCACTTGATCGTGATAATGCCCTGCCATTGCTCTTATGTTTTATTTCAATTGTATAAATATTTACCACATCAAGGGGCCAGGATTGTTTTTATTATCATAAAGAGACTATTTCACCTGTAAGACAGTTCTGCAAAGAGTATTCAAGACGATATGTGTGAAGGCAAGTCTCAGTGGCAGTAGGATAGACGTCAGCATAGTTCAACGTAGGGAGCAGAAACTGGGCAATCGCTTTCAGAATAGTTTTTTTCAGAATAAAAATCTGTATATATATACTGGGGTGATCTGATGAACTATGAAGCTCTTTTTCACAGATCTGCAGTCCGGGCGGGTCAGAAGATTATAACAAACAATACAAAAGACAATAGGAGTGCAAAGTGTAGGAAAGGTAAGCAAAGCACCAAAAATAAAAATAAACAATTTTTATTAATAATAAACTATTTTTATTTGATTAGGTAAAGCCCAATGAGCTATTAGATTATTTTTCAGAAGCGACCTGGCCACATGATAGATCAAAGAAGCGGCTTAACATGTGGATATTTATGGCAGCTAAATCTTACCTATATAAGTAACTAGCGGGAAGTCCCCGGCGTTGCCCGGGCGAAAAATATATTTCAAAACTTTTCTTAAAAACCTTTCATATACATACACAGATACTAAGGTATTGTGAAAGCCCAGTTGGGCCGTTTGTCCATTTCTCCACTAACAAAATTGTAAGAGGCTTGCATAAGTCCAAAGAGATATAGAAGGTGGGGGTAAATGGTTGATCTAAAAGGTTACCGAAAATTGTCGACTCCCCCCTCAAAAAATATATTTACCTCCGCGTAGTTATATATACCTACACACCCTACATACAACAGAGTAAGGAGTATCTATTGACTCTGTAGTTGCATCTACTGACTGTACAGTAGTATCTACTGAGCCAGTAGTAGCTACTGATGGTATAGTAGTATTTAGTGACAGTAGTAACTAAAGACCATAATAGTATCTACTAGCCCTACAGTACTATCTACTGATTATAGTAGTAACTACTGACCGTAGTAGTATGGACTGGCCCTACAGTCGTATCTACCGACTATATAGTAGGGACAACTAACTCTATAGTAGTATCTGCTGACTGTAGCAGTATTTACTGACTGTTTTAGAATCTACTAAGTCTATATAGCAGTATCTACCAACTCGATAGCAGTATCTACTATCACTACAGCAGCACATACCGACTGTGGTGGTACCTGCTATCACTACAGCAGTGCATACCGGCTGTGGTGGCACCTGCTATCACCACAGTAGTGCATACCGACTGTGGTGGTACCTGCTATGATTACAGCAGTGCATACCCACTGTGGTGGTACCTGCTTTCACTACAGCAGTGCATGCTGACTGTGGTGGTATCCTGCTATAACTACAGCAGTGCATAATGACTGTGGTAGTACCTGCTTTCGCCACAACAGTGCATACCAACTGCGGTGGTACCTGCTTTCACTACAGCAATGCATACTGACTGTGGTGGTATCCTGCTATGACTGTAGCAGTGCATACCGACTGTGATGTTACCTGCTATCACTACAGCAGTGCATACCGACTGTGGTGGCATCTGCTTTCACTATAGCAGTGCATACCGACTGTGGTGGAACCTGCTTTCACTACAGCAGTGCATAATGACTGTGGTGGTACCTGCTTTCGCCACAACAGTGCATACCGACTGTGGTGGAATCTGCTTTAACAATAACAGTGCATACCGACTGTGGTGGAACCTGCTTTCACTACAGCAGTGCATTCTGACTGTGGTGATCCCTGCTATCACTACAGTAGTGCATACCAGCTGTGGTGGAACCTGCTATCACCACAGCAGTGTACAGCAACTGTGGTGGTACCTGATGTCACTACAGCAGTGCATACCGACTGTGGTGGTACCTGCTATCACTACAGCAGTGCACACCGACTGTGGTGGTACCTGCTTTCACTACAGCAGTGCATACCGACTGTGGTGGTACCTGCTATGACTACATCAGTGCATACCGACTGTGGTGGCACCTGCTTTTATTACAGCAGTGCATACCGACTGTGGTGGAACCTGGTTTCACTACAGCAGTGCATACCATTTGTGGTGGTACCTGCTTCAACTACACCATTGCATACCGACTGTGGTGGATCCTTCTATCACTACAGCAGTGTATGTTGACTTTGCTGGTACCTGCTTTCCCTACAGCAGTGCATAATGACTGTGGTGGTACCTGCTTTCACTACAGCAGTGCATTCCGACTGTGGTGATCCCTGCTATCACTACAGCAGTGCATACCAGCTGTGGTGGAACCTGCTATCACCACAGCAGTGTACAGCGACTGTGGTGGTACCTGATGTCACAACAGCAGTGCATACCGACTGTGGTGGTACCTGCTATGACTACATCAGTGCATACCGACTGTGGTGGTACCTGATTTTACTACAGCAGTGCATACCGACTGTGGTGGAACCTGGTTTCACTACAGCAGTGCATACCGATTGTGGTGGTACCTGCTTCAACTACAGCATTGCATACCGACTGTGGTGGATCCTTCTATCACTACAGCAGTGCATGTCGACTTTGCTGGTACCTGCTTTCAATACAGCAGTGCATAATGACTGTGGTGGAAGCTTGTTTCACTACAGCAGTGCATACCGACTGTGGTGGAACCTGGTTTCACTACAGCAGTGCATACCGGCTGTGGTGGAACCTGCTTTCACTACAGCAGTGCATACCGACTGTGGTGGAATCTGGTTTCACTACAGCAGTGCATACCGACTGTGGTGGAAGCTGCTTTCACTACAGCAGTGCATACCGACTGTGGTGGAACCTGGTTTCACTACAGCAGTGCATACCGGCTGTGGTGGAACCTGCTTTCACTACAGCAGTGCATACCGACTGTGGTGGAATCTGGTTTCACTACAGCAGTGCATACCGACTGTGGTGGAAGCTGCTTTCACTACAGCAGTGCATACCGACTGTGGTGGAACCTGGTTTCACTACAGCAGTGCATACCGGCTGTGGTGGAACCTGCTTTCACTACAGCAGTGCATACCGACTGTGGTGGAACCTGGTTTCACTACAGCAGTGCATTCCGACTGTGGTGGAACCTGGTTTCACTACAGCAGTGCATACCGACTGGTGGTACCTGCTATCCCTACATCAGTGCATACCGACTGTGGCGGTACCTGCTATCACTACAGCAGTCCATACCGACTGTGGCGGTACCTGCTTTCACCACAACAGTGCATACCGACTGTGGCGGTACCTGATTTCACCACAGCAGTGCATACCGACTGTGGCGGTACCTGCATTCACCACAGCAATGCATACCGACTGTGGCCGTACCTGCTATCACCACACCATCCTTCCTGCCGTTTGGCTGTTATCTCAGACTCTCTGAGTTGCATTGGCCTGTTGGATGCCTTTGCATTAACGGGCTGGTGTCTCACTAACATGGTCACTTCTGCTCCCTTAGCCTCGATGTATCGATGGTTATTATTGTTTTATGGGATGTGTGTCTCACTGGCATGGCCACTATTGCGGTAGTTCTCTTGTGTTGACGCGCTTGCCTCTCACAGCGCAGGCCTGGCTACACCTTGTGCTATACATAGACTTGACATTAACTTGCTAATCTCCCCAATCTCTCTCCCTAACCTCTCCCATTAACATAGTGCTAATCTCCCATTAACACTGCTGCTGTGCGCATGTGCGGCAACAGTGCTCTCATGCATTAACGGAAGCTCATTTACTTTGACATGCTAATCTCTCTCCCTAATCTCACGCATTAAAACAACTGATGTGCTTGCATGCGGGGATGGGACTCCAGTCCAGCTTGGACCTCGTTTTCTTGCCCTTGAGCTACACCCCCTTTAAACATATAAACCCCTTGTTGTAGCAGCTCTCTTGCTGTGTTCTACCTAGTTCCGCAGTTCAACTGCTGGGTTGTGTTTCGCCTGATGACGATCGCTTGTGTTGCGAACGAAACGTCGTGATATATTATTTTATAATAAAGGTTTTTGGGTTAGATCGCATTATTTATAAATGTGTCGTAACCCTCCACCACCTGACACGGCCAAACAGTAAAAAATGTGTCACGTTTACAAGGGACAAATAGTTCACTACTTTAGCCCACCGGTGTGTTGAAGAGTGAAGCAACATCATTTAAAATTTGAGTACGACGTTTCGCTGGTAATTACATCCAGCATCATTGGGCAATTTGCCAGAATGGTAAACCCCTCACTTGCTCCCGGTCTTAAATAGAGCAGCAGGGTGACGTCATCATTTAACGCATTCAGGTGCAGTGAGAAAAGTATCCTCCCCATAGAGGTTATTCAGTTTAACACGTAGGCTTTCGCGGCCAATATTATTCATAATAAAGGTTTTTGGGTTAGATCGCGTTATTTATAAATGTGTCGTAACCCTCCACCACCCTACCTAAGTGACTTTACTGAAAGAACCAAAGAGTACTATAGAGTTGGTAGATACTACCGTAGAGTCAGTAGATACTACTATAGTCAGAGTCCATTACAGTCAGTATATGCTGCTGCAGAGTCAGTAGTAATGACTATAGAGTCAGTAGATACTGCTCTAGAGTCAGCAGATACTACTATAGAGTTAGTAGTTACTACTATAGAGTCAGTAGTTACTACTATAGAGTCAGTAGATACTACTATAGAGTAAATATATACTATTATAGAGTCAGTAGATACTACTGTAGAGCCAGATACTACTGTAGAGTCAGATACTACTATAGAGTTACTAGATTCTACTCACTATTGTATATAGAGTGTTTAGGTATATATGCCTACGCGGGGGTAAAAATATTTTTTGAGGGAGGGGGTCGACAATTTTTGGAAAACTTTTAGATCAACCATTTACCCCCAACTTCTATATCTCTTTGGACTTATGCAAGCCTCTTATAATTTGTTGACAGACAAATGAACCTCATGGCAGGACTCCTGGGTCCCATAAGCCCCCGGCTCTCACATAAACTGCGTTACGACGTCATTTTATGTCTGTTGAAGGCGAACGATACAACAATCTATTTCTCTCGACGAGCTCTACACAATGTACTAATCAAAGTTTCAAAGTTTTGGTTATGACTACAACATTCATCCTCGCTGCGCTTGGACGACATGACAACTGAATGATCTGCGGCAGGTAGGTCGCTGCATTTATGTGCGCGGTGGGACAGAGTCGCCAAAAATAAAATAACTAATTACGATTTAGACTTCCGTTTATTCGGGACCCCGGGGTCCTGCCATAAGGTTCAAATGAACATAAGGCATGCCGGGCTTTCACAATAGCTTAGTATTTGTGCATGTATATGTTATGTTTTTAAGATAAGTTTTTAAATATATTTTTCCCCCGGGAAACGCCGGGTACTTCCCGCTAGTAATCTAAAAAAAACATAAGTGCATTCACCAAGTCTACAGTTGATGTTTTCCACAAGGTGTATGGTTAAGTATTGAGATTTTAAATTGACCATTCATAGAGGAGCCTTTGCTTCATGCCAAAGACCATGCAGATGTCTTTCTTGATATTGATTATTATTTTTTACCTGTGAACTCACTTTTGTATCTTATTCAAATCTGTAGTTTGACCATCAGATTTGTGACTTTTTCACATGGTATTAGTCTACGACCACATTATGGTAACATCCGCATGAAAACTAGAAAAACTGCATGCTCTAGGTGCATCATAACACAAGGATGCAGATTTTTTTTTTTATAAACGAACAAGACTTTTGTTAACTTTGAATATGCAACTATTAAAAGGTTTATATATGCAGCCAATTATATATATATTTTTTGAGACTAGTAGGCATGAGTATATTGCTCTTATATGATTTTCACAATTTGTTGTAGATTATATTTCAACTTAAATTTCATGAGAAAAAATGTATGAACTCTTTTTACTTACCAAAGATGACTTTCCGAAAAGTTACCCTTTAAGGCTGTATTCACCAGGAGCTTATTAGAAAATAGAGAAGACTCATCTCTAAGCTCGAACATTTTAGGAAAATTATTAATGTTGAAATGTGAGGATGGCATCGAACTATCCACAAAGAAATATCTGTAAAAAAGAAACCTAGAATTACTCTTGACCATTAGGTATTTTAGTGAGAGACAACAATGTAATTAACTAAACATTGTAAGCATTAATTTTTAGGTGCCACTAGTACAATGAAGCTGAAAACACATTTTGTTTCAGTTGCAGTCACCATTTTCTATTGTACAGTACTCACAGATGTTCATTTTCCTGGTCAAACACGGACAGTTCACTGATGTTCCAGTAATCACAGACATTGTTGCCTTTGAGCCATAGTTTCATATGAGATGGTGTTCCATAGTTTTCAGGCATAGAGAATATGAAGTTATATGTTATGCCTGTTTCAAATTCCTAAAAAATACAAAATTGAACAGTAATGTAATCGTCATAATTCAGAAATTGTCCGCTCCAAGCACTGTATTGACGAGGGCTTTTGATGGTACCGCACCTCACCATATCTTCTTCTGTATACAACAACTGGTCAAAAGTTGATGTTCATTTAACAAGTTATGATTTCAGAGTATCCCTTCATTTGCCTTTAGGTTTTTCCATTAGTTATTGACCTTTGGGTAACCCAGTGCCTGTTTAAGCAAAATGTCCTCCTCTATCCTGCATTATTTGGCCACATACTCTTTTTGCAATCTTCTTTTCCCAATTACATTCACAATGGTTGACATGCTCTCTCACTGAATTTGAATGCCTTGCCCCCATCCTGCTTGCAATTCTTGGCACCCTTTCCAGGTCCTGGTGTTGATGGACAGGGGTCTGCAACTGTGGCCCCAAAGGCCCTGGGGAGGTGTCTGTAATGGAAGAACTTCTCTGAGGTTCTGTGAAACTCTTTAAAGAAAACCCAGCTACAACCGTTTATATTTATAGATTAAAACAAAGGGTTACAAAATATAGCTCCTCCACAATTTTGGGTGACCCAAAATCTGCAATTGAAGTTTTTTTTTTAATTTCAAATGATTCTCCTAACTGGATTCAGAAACCTTTAAGATCTTCAGATACAAACATTTATAGGCCTAAAAAATAAACAAGCTGAAAAAGAATTGCGCCTCAATGTTGGGTTGGCGAAGGTAAAAAATTACAACTTTGGATTTGAAACATAATGTTATATTTCGATTCATCACCCTTTAAGATCTCCTTATGAAAACTTTCATAGGCCTAGGTTCCAAACATAACTTATTTTATTCTCAATTTTGGTGTAGGCAGAGAAAACCTTGAAACCATTAAAATCACAACCTCTGTCATTGGCGCTTCTATACAGCAGAATAGTATACAGTAGGCTATTGGCAAAACCATGGCTGATTAAATACAGGCGGTCTCCAGTTTACCACAATCTATATTTACCACGTTTATATAACTTTAGAGTCACTGATCATCGGGCTAGGGGTCTCTGTATTGGCAACGGAGGGGCGTTGTTTATGAGTCACTTTCTATCTCAATCGCTATCTGTTCATGCTTGGACCGCCATTTCCCACACCTTGGACAAAGGTTTTTAGGTCAAGTCACTCCAAGTTGGAGGCCTGACTATGTGTTTTCCTAAAGTACGAGGTTCATTGCTGATAGAATACATAACGGTCCTCAACAGAAATATGGAAATGGCCGTGCCCTAGCCCATGGGAACGACCGCTGACTGGTGCTGGCGAATCCTGTATGACTACTTCCCTATCGGCAGCAAATCAGGGAGTTATGGCCCAGAGTGGACATAGACCAGGAAAGCCGAGGGACATAGAGTGGACGTTTGTGGACGAATGGGTTCTAGTGCCACTGTGCCATGCACACTAGGTTGAGTCACCACAGAAAGTCCCTCTATGCCCAGCTAAACCCGAAGTGAGAGATTAAAAGTTACACAGTCTGTATCGTCTTGGTCTTCATATTGTTGTTGATGCATTGTGGGTATGCAAGTAACTTGTAGCGGTAGTGTAGCGGTTAGCGCGCTGCGCTAGGAACCTGGGCCTCCCCTAGGTTGACTCAGCCTCAAATTAGTACCTGGTGCGATGTGTAAACATCGCCACTAGGGAGACAAAGGCGGCCGGGCGTGGTGTTGGCCACCTAACCCCTCGTGTGCCGTGCCAGCCTTTATAGGTGCTCGCTAACAGCACTTGCCCCGACAGTCTGTTAAGGCTATACTGGCCATCTTTGTTGTTAAGCAGGTAGGTGTGAAAGAGCTCAGCCCGAACAGAACCTAAGTTTAGAAAATCCTCCCTGCCGCCACCGAGACGTGCATAGGGTCTTCACCCCGAGGAGCCGTCTCTCTGAGCCGTGGGAAGGCAGCATAACCTCGGATTGAGGGGGTATTGGCGGGTGTGTACGTGGGGCAATGAGCCAACTTGGCCATGCTCACACCGCTCGCAGAGGAGCCGCCGCTGAGTAGTATCGTGCACAAAGCGGAACCCCTCTATCAGCTGAGACTAGGCACAGCCCAATATAACTATGCCCCGCACCGCCAGAGTTCACAAAAAGGCGTGAACAGTGCAGATTCGCCAAGGGTGTGGCACGAGGGGCTAAATTGAGGCCGTGCTCACATCGCGCGAAAAGGGGCCACCGGCCAGTGCTTTGTATCATCCACAAAGTGGTTCCCCCTTTATCAGACGAGACCAGACACAGCCCGATATAACCACACCCGCCCCGCCAGAGGTTGCGGAAAGGCGGAAAAAGTAGATTTGCTGTGGGCGCGAGGGGACGACCTTCAGTTATGTTCACCACCCATGTGGAGAGATACACATATATACATACCCACCCGTGGGTAAGGGTACCTATAGGCACATACACGCATAGATGCACACACCTAAAGCGACAGTTGCACGGGCGCCTACAACTCAACAAAGCAGGGGGTGGAGTATTAACCCCTAGGTGAGGTCGTGAGGTGCGAATTGGTTGCCCAGCAGGGGTGTGGGATGACAAACCGGTGGCGCATGCTGGTGCACTCGGAGGAGGGGATGGAAGTAACCTCCAGGACAGCGTTGCTCAGAGAAACCACAGTTCTATACAGGGGACGCGGAAAACTGAGGAAGAGATGGAGGCCTGCCAGGGGCGGGCTCGTCGAGTTCACAGCCAAGCCCGGCGGCATGGTAGAGGGTCATGCGATTCGCCCCCAGATGAATTGCTAGCAGAGACTAACGATGATGACGCACAAGGGCCTGGCAGTGGACGGAGCTGCCCCAGGCAGGCAACAGCAATGCCAGCAAGGTCTTGGGTGGAGTTGGCCCACCAATTCCCCCACCCTGCTCGCATAGGCTTTGCGTCACGTGACATAACGCCACCATGAATCGATTTAGGACACAGAAACTGTATTCACGACGCATCTTCCAACATGATTTAACACATTTAAAAAGCGTCAGTCTGAATCCCAATATAACTTGGGATTGAGCTTTTGTTGTTCCCGTGTTTTTGTGGATAATTACCTATAAAACCCTGTTAAATGTGGCTAGTAAAAAGAAAAGCACATCGGCAAGCGATGTTTTTACTGTTTCAACTGTCTTATAGGAACATAGGGTCCGATTTATGACAAGGTTTCCAGGAACGCAAAGTGTCTTAAAAGCAGGGACCATCTGTACTTTGTATGAGCATAGATGAGATAAGTGGAGGGTTATTTTTCCGTGTGTACATTTACAGCACTGCCAAAGCAGCTCCTTGAATTTAGCTTTCATCAATTATGAATAACCAACGAATATGCATCCAATTTACACAGCACCTGGTTCAAGGTATAAGTCCGCTATCCATATAGTTTATCGGTAGTACACAAATCTCTCGACTGAAAATTAAATGTAAACAAAAATGCATTTGAAATTACCTTTAAATCCTGGTGAGCGAGTTCCCGTGTACCGAGTTCAGACTCGTGAAAGTACAGGTTGAAGTAGGCACAGGACTGAGTCCCAGAATCCTCTGCTGACGCTGTTTTCACTCGTAGTAAGAGCCAGCACTTATTGTCTCCATCGAGGTCCGATAGATAAAACACTTTGTTCTAAAAGGAAATAAAAGCAAGAATTGTGATTCAGTACCACCCACGTATGTTAGTTACAGTATATACCACTACAATATTTACTTAAATACAAAAAATAAGTGTAAAATACTCGTGCAATTATATGAGATGATGAAAAGCTAAAACATAACATTTACCTTCTCTTGATCTTGTATGTCTTGGTTTTTTGCCCACAGCAGCACGATGATATAGAGAAAGACGATGACAGTGACAGTCGCAAAAACGGCACCGTTTGTCTCCAGGTCAAATTTTGTGAACACACTTGTAAAATCAATAAGGTTTGGTGTCAAAAACTCTGCTGCAATAAATACGTTTTGTTGACCAAAATTTATATCACCAGCGCTCTGGTCTCCACCAACCACACAGACTGTCATATCACGTGTGGAGTTTGGGTGAACCTGATCCGAGATATCACCACAATACTGAATTATTGCACATATTCCGATACACGTGAAACATTTGGCAGTTATTTCCACAATTGAAAAAAATCAGTCGCCCATGATAGAGACAGCGAGCAACCACTGCTTCCGATACAAATGTCTCCTCTGATTCTTGGAAAAGATTTTAAAATAAGATGTGGCATATAAGAGATAATTAACTATTATCCAAACTTGGAATTTATGTTTTATGAACAGGATTAGAAGCAATCTGGTAAAATGTAATGAATAAACAAGTATGTTCGGCCTGTACAATTAAAAATCCTGCTTGAAATGTTTACTTCCAGAGCCTACTCCAGCTCAAGTGTACCAATATGAAATCGTAATGATAATCGCTCTTGTATAAGAAAACCTGGTAAAATTAAATATTGTTATGAACGTACCTGTGCCGAAGTGTATTTCCACTCGTTAACGGAGATGTCCCTCGATTTGCAAGCTAATGTCCATGCGTTTATTTTGACTTTTTTATTAATGACAAGGTTTTTGTCAGTGCCTGCAAAATAACATGAAACGTGAGGAGAAATGAGTGCCAATTGCAGTGCAGTAATGTTGTTGTCCGCAGAAAGAATGTTACGTAGAATACTAGCAGGAAGTACTCGGCTTTGCCCAGTGGAAAATATATTTCATAACGTGTCTTTTCTTTAAAAAACATAACGTATACATACACAAATACCAAGCTATTGTGCAGAAGTCCTGAATCAAAAAGTAATAGAAAGTTGGGGGGTAAATAGTTTATCTAAAACGGTTCCCAAAAATTGTCAATCCCCCCCCCCTTAAAAAATATTTTTACCCCCCCAGCCAATTTTTATTTTGTAGGCATATATACCTACACACCCTACATACAATAGAGTCAATAGTATCTCATGACTCTAGAGTAATATCTGGCTCTACAGTAGAATCTACTGACTATAGTAGTAGCTTCTGACTGTAATAGTATCTACTGACTATAGTAGTGTAGCGTCATAAAAGATGTCGCTATAGGGAAGCAGTACCAGGTAAGGGGTGTACTGTATGTGTGGAGCCCCTCCTCGTATTCGGGGGGAGGGGTGTGGCGAAGGGGAGAGCGGGGGCCACGCCGGAAGGGGCTGAGGGCGGGGGCCGGAAGGGGTTCGGGGTTTTTGGTGGCGGAGCGAGCGGGAGACCATGTGCCAAGTCACCGTCGGAAGGTGAGGATGGCGAAGAATCTGTCCCACAAACAGCGCCGGGGTCAGCAGCTCCGGAAAGGGGGAGCGAGGCGATGCTACCGGCGGAACAGCAGGACGCCCGCCACGTATTCGCTTCGCCGCCGTTGGCGAGAGAGCACCGGTCATGTCATGCCCAGATCGCCGAGCTTCTGGAGGCTGCAGCGGCGCTGCTCACCGGGCGCAACGAGGAGGAGCTACCGGTAGAAGTTTGGGCGCTGAAGCCGGGAGAAGTCGAGCCGGCTGCTGCTTTCCGCGCGGGAATCTCCTGCTGTGCAGCCCTCACGCGCGGCCACCATTTTGGCGCCTGGGCGGGAAAAATGAAACTCCTGCTAAAATGGAACTCCTGCCGAAACCGCCTGTGAAGCTCCCGTACCGGTTGAGGAGTTTACGGCGGTGGGAGGTGATTGAGACGCTTTCCAGCGCCGCTTCAAGGTAAACTGATTTGGCGGACTGGACGGAGGCGGAGGCACTGTGGGCACTTCCCACCTCCCTGGACGACGATGCCTTGGAAGCGTTCTGCGCCATCCCACCGGCGGAGAGGGCCATGCTGCCAATGGCCTTCGCGCAGATGGTGTCAATTTATGATCTGCCATCGAGCGTTCATCAAAAGTTTGCCGCGCGGAGGCGGTGGGAGGCCGAGACACCCCTCGCCTTTCGCAGCACTCTGTTGGCGCTGGCGCAGGCGGCTTTTCCGAAGATGGAACACGACGGGATTGACTCAGTTTTATAACGTTTGTTGGCTTTGGCGATTAAACGTTGCCCTTCCAGCTTCAGAAGACGACGATTAATCATCACTCAACATTGCACGGTGCATTCAAGCACACTGCAATCTACGACGACGCACGCAAGTGGTGGCATGCACCGCACCATTTGAGGATTTTGGTGCACCCGAAGAGTCCACCCAGGCCTGCACTGAGGTCGATGGGGTTGGTTGGCGGAGGGAGGACATGGAGCAACGAGGGGGATGCGACCGGCGGCGGGGGGCCTTCTCTCATCAGGGGGGCGGTCCCATCTGCTGCTACAACTGCGGTCTGCTTTTGCACGTCGCATCAGGATGCCGCGCCACAAGAGGAGGACTCTCCAGGCCATCTTCGCCATCGCCATGGACCCCCTTAGGGCCAGACAGAGTTAAGGTAGTTGCGATTCCGCAGGGAGATGGCTGGTCACACCGTCCTGATCAGTGGTCGGAGTTGGCCCACCGAGTGGTCGCTGCGGCGGCGGGATTGTCAACTGTTGTTGGAACGATAAAGGGGGTGGCGGTATGGGTGCTCGTTGACACAGGAGCATCCGCTACCATTATTTAAGAATTGGTTTACATTATTCTTCCCCAGAAATGTCACTTCCTTTGCCCTGTCGTGGCTCCATGTTTCGCTGCCAATGGGTCGTTGGGCATCATTGGCCAGATCTCGGCTGAGTTGTCTATTGCTGGCATTAAATTAACGGAGCCGGTTCTGGTTTCGACATATCTGGCCGTACCCTATCTGCTGGGGACAGATTTCCTGGGAAAGATGCCCCTACAGATCCTTGTTGACCAAAGATGTCTTGAGTCACCGTCGGGCCATCATTTTTCCTTTCTTTCATCCCCTACTTGATTGTGCACGGCTAACGCCACGGTCCAGCATTGGAAAGTAGAACGGTTAAAATCCCCCCCGGTACGCAAATGCTTGTTCCTTTACTGCAGCGCAAACAGCTTGACTGGGAAGCGACCACGGGAGGGATCCTGTTGGGACCATAGAATAAAGTAAGTCAGGGCTTGATGCTGGTTGGGGCTCAAACGTTGGTTTCTAGCACCCAAGAGCCTGTTATTCAAATCATTAAGGCCGGGTCAAAGGCATTGGTTATGCAAGCGGGCATTGTACCAGCTCACACGTAGGCTGCGAGTTGTGAGGGAAACATCGTTGGTGGCGTGGGAGTTGTGTTGGCTATGGAGCAGAAACAGAGTGATGATGAAGGCTGGATGGATGCACTCTGCTCCGGAAACCCCAATTTGTCTGACGCTCAGAGTAAGCGGTTGCATGCGCTTTTACGATAATTTTCTGATGTTTTCAGTAAAAGTAAAGTTGATATTGGTCGCACCACTTTCTTAAGCCACCACATCAATACGGGTAATGCCGTTCCTGTTCGGCAAAATCCCTATCGGTTGAGCCCACAGAAAAAAGACCATGTGCGGTAGGCAGTCGACGAAATGTTGGCTGCAGATGTGATTTCTCCATCCACCAGTCTATGGGTAGCGCCTATAGTGCTTGTTAAAAAACATGATGGGAGCTTGCGCTTTTGCGTTGACTTCTGCAAGCTTAATAAAATCTCTATGGAGGACGCGTACCCCCTTCCGCGAATGGATGATTCGTTTGATGCTCTGGAGGGAGCGTGTTTTTTTCGAAACTGGATCTGTTATCGGGATTCTGGCAAATGCCTTTGGATGAATGCTCAAGGCCTAAGACTGCCTTTTGTATACCGCAAGGGTTATTTGAGCTTAATCGGCTTCCGATGGTTCTTCACTCGGCACCGGCGACGTTCCAGAGGCTCATGGAGCTGGTTTTGGCAGGACTCCAGTGAGACTCCTGCCTCGTATATCTCGACGACGTCATTGTATTTAGCCGCATGTTCGAGGAGCATTTGGCATGATTGCACGCAGTTTTTCTTAAGATGCAAGCTGCTAATCTGAAATTTAAGCCACAGAAATGCCACCTGCTGTAAAAGTCCCTTCAATACTTGGGGCACATCGTTAGCAAGGCGGGAATAGCAACAGACCCGGATAAAACTGCGTGTGTGCACACTTGGCCAACCCCCAAGTCGGTGGGTGAAGTACGCAGTTTTATCGGGTTTGCATCCTGTTACCGGCGCATCATACCCAGGTTCGCCTCTGTTGCAAAATTGCGCCACGCCCTGATGGCCAAAGCCCAAAAATTCTGCTGGGGGGAGGAGGAGGCCACATTTGTCGCGCTCTGGGATGGCCTGGTGAACGCCCCTCCCCTCCGATACCCAGATTTTTCGCTGCCCTTCATTTTTGACACGGACTCCAGCAACGCCGGAATTGGTGCCATGTTGTCCCAAATTGTGGACAGGGTGGAGTGTGTCGTGGCATACGGCAGCAGAGTGTTGTCCCCTGCTGAGCAGCGCAACTGTGTCACACCGTGAACTGCTGGCCATAGGTTTTTTGTGTGTAGCTATATCGACCGTACCTGTATGGCAGGCGCTTTGAGGTGCGCTCCGACCACGCCACACTCCAGTATGCGCTACACATTGACCAACCATCCGGCCAGCTCTCACAATGGTTGGAACTCCTCCAGGAATATTAATTTAACGTCTCTTACCATAAGGGTGCCCTGCACACGAATGTGGACGCGCAATCGCGCTTACCACCGAGCGACGAGGGCACGTGTCTCTCTGGTTCGTGCCATTGTAAGCCATCCGCCGAGGCAGTGTCTCCTCCTGGGTTGGCGCTGGTGGAGGTTCAAACCCCTGACAATTCCAGGATCCTGACGCATGTGATGCCACCCTCGGCCTCAAACATACTGAGTGGGGATGCCTCCAGGCAGAAGACTCCTCCTTATTTAAACTGCGGTGCCGTATCAGGGAGCCTGGGGGGGGGGGGGGGCAAACCCCCATGGGTTGACTCCAGTCATCCTCAAAGGAGGGCTCTTGATGCACTGTGATGTTGGTTGCACCACTGTCTTCAGGGGTATGATCATCTGGGCGGTGCCTGAGAAGCTGCTGCACCTTGGCATACACAAAATGCTTGCAACCTTCAAACTCAAAATTTTCTGGCCAGGAATGTCAGGGGATGTAAGTGATGTGCTGAAGGGGTGTGTGCAATGTGCTTGTCGCAAACCCCCACCTAAGTTGGGTTGCCCGCCCTTGCAATCCATTCACGTATCCCGCATTAATGAGCTCATCGCACTTGACATTCTTGGGCCATTTCCGACCAAACCGCGGGGAAATAGATATTTATTGGTCAAGGTGGAATATTTTTCCCGCTTGCCAATGGCCTGGCCGCTTCCCAACCAGTTGGCTGCATCTATCACGGAGGCATTCCTCCACGGCTACGTGTTGGACAAGGGGGCCCCGGAGCGCCTCCTCACTGATCAGGGGAAAACAACTTCCTCTAAATTATTATGCAAAGTGTGTGACTCATTGGGCACGAAAAAGGTTCAAACGTCACCCTATCATCCCCAGACGGACGGGATGGTGTAGCGACTGCACAGAACCTTATCTTCAATGTTGAGCCAGCAGGTCAGTGAGTCTCAGACCGACTGGAACTTGCACGTTCCTGGGGTTCTCTGGCCTACAGGATGGCTCCCCACGCTTCTACCGGCTACTCGCCGTTTTTTTAATGTATGGGAGGGAGCAGCAACCCCCGATCGAGGTTCAACTGAACACGGGCCAGAGTAAGACTAAGGCCAACATGCCTGAGCCCATGCGTCTTACCCTTCAGATGGTGTCAGAGGCACGGGAGACTTCCAGGGAGAATTCGGCCTTACGGCAGTCGGCCAATGAGCGGCTAAGGGGGCTTCGGCTATCCGTCAAAACATGGGCTCAGGGTGATAGGGCTTGGTTGCACTACCCTCAGGTTCCTGTGGGTACCTCTCCCAAGCTCTACACACCTTGGCGAGAGCCGAGACATGCCCCGCAGACCATCGTCAAACTTCCCCCGGGACCTCCAGGGAGCCCAGGCCAGCCTCCCTGGGGGGGCCCGGCATCGTGGACTCGTTCTAAACTCCCCTAATTAAATGACTCGCCCATCCATGCTGGCCCAACCCGCGCCGTTGGTGCTCGTCTCGCATACGGGGGGAGGGGATGTTAGGCGGCGACGGTAATCCGGGTTGTGTGTGTACATTGCTAGTTTTTTTCGTTTAGTTCCTGTTATTGAATTTCCTTCTCTCTCTTCCCCCCCCCCCCCCCCCCGGAAACTATATATACAGTATTTATTATTTGGTCGCCGTTTATTTATTGTTGTGGAATTTGTTGTGGGATACACTATTGGGTTATGGGCTGTTGACAGCCGGAACAGCTGGAATTTTACAAGGGGGGGGGGGGGGGGGGGGGGGGAGGGGGGTGATGTAGCGTCATAAAAGATGTCGCTATAGGGAAGGGGTACAGGAAAGGGGGTACTATATGTGTGGAGCCCCTCCTCGTATTCGGGGGGAGGGGCGCGGCGAAGGGAAGAGCGGGGCCACGCCGGAAGAGGTTGAGGGCGGGGGCCGGAAGGGGTTCGAGGTTGTTGGTGGCGGAGTGAGCGGGAGTGAGCTAGGAGCCGGGGCACGGGGCACGGGGCTCGAGTAGAAGATCGTAGTTTCCGACAAAAGGTGTAGATATAGTTAGCCGGGACTCACCCCCCCCCCCCCCCCTTTGGTCATTCTGTTGGGTTATTGTGTTAACAAACGTGTTGCCTCCAGAGAAGGTGTGCGCCTCCATCATACACTACAGTAGTATCTATTGACTACAGTAGTATCTACTGACTCTATATTCGTATCTGCTGACTGTAGTTTTACCTACTGACTGTACAGTAGTATCTACGGAATACTGTAGTTGCTACTGACTCTACAATAGTATCTACTGACTACAGTAGTATCTACTTACTGTATAGTATCTACTGACTGTATAGTAGTATCTACTGACTACAGTAGTATCTACTGACTATAGTAGTATCTACTTATTGTATGTTAGTATCTATTGATTGTATAGTAGTATCTACTGACTCTAAAGCAATATCTACTTACTCTATAGTCGTATCTACTAATGCTGCAGCAGTATATACTGACTGTAGTGGTATCTACTGACTGTAGTAGTATCTACAGACTCTATGGTGGCATCTACCGACTCTATAGCAGTAACTACTAACTCTAGAGTAGTATCTTATAACTATAGTAATTTTTACTGAATCTATAGTAATATTGATTGACTATAATAGTAGTCATTGACGATAGCAGTAACTACTAACCCTATAGTAGTATCTGCTGACTCTACAGCAGTATCTGCTGACTATAGCATTATCTACTGACTATAGCAGTATCTACTAACTATAGTAGTGTCTACTGACTACAGTAGTATATCCTGATTCTAGAGTAGTAACTACTGAGCCTACAGTAGTATCTACTGAATATAGTAGTATCTACCGACTCTACAGTAGTATCTACTGAGTCTATAGCAGTATCTACTAACTCTACAGTAGTATCTACTGACTATAGTAGTATGTACTGACTATAGTAACTACTAACTCAATACTAACTCTATAGTAGTATCTACCGACTCTATAGTAGTATCTAATGATCATAGTTATATGAACGGAGCCTATAGTAGTATATCTTGACTTTATAGTAGATATACTGACAACAATAGTATCTACTGACTCTATAGTAGTAACTGAACACATTAGGGTGGGGGGGGGGCAGAAGAGGACATCACGCTGTTCTTAATTTACCTCAGTGTTGTGCTTCTGCTTTTTTTGTGTTTTTAACATGAAGGAGAACTTCCCTCCCATCACCACTCAGCGAGCTCGTGTGCATTGCTATGGGCAACCGCGAGTCAGCGTTTCTGCGCATGCGCAGATGCGTGCTTTAGTGCCACGATCAGCGTACATTGTTAAAAAGTTTGTGTTGCATTACATTTTCAAAAGATTTGCAAAATTTTGTTTTCTCAAACTATTTCTCTTTCTAAAATTGACCAGGCTCTCATAGGGCCATTCGATCTTCTTTCCCTAGGTTGCTTCGGGGAGGATTCATTGGCATGCTAATTTCTCTGCTCCAGCAGCTGCCCCAGCAGACCCACCTCTCTCTCTCTCTCTGCCCCCCCCCCCCCCTCTCTCTTTTTATTTAAGGCCTCGACACAGAGGCATTGGGTCTCTGTGTGTCTAAGTTGTGTGCCTCTCTCTCTCTGTCTGTGTTGTCTCTTTCTGCTTGTGTGTTTGTCTGTGTGTCTCCATGTCTGTGTTTCGTCTCTCTCTCAAATGTAGTTCTACCTGATGATGGTTGCTTGTGTTGCAATGTAAACGTCGTATTTTATTATTTAATTTATTTTCTTTCTACGTGACTTTACCGAAAGAACCAGTAACAAAAGCTTTAAATCAAGTTTGATTCTATTAGTTTATATTTGACCAAGGGCAAAAACATAGCGAGTTTTCGTTCAGGGGCTTAGTTTGTTGTATCTGTATTTTATTTAAAAGTAAACCCATCAGTTTGTCAGTTAAAAGCGTCACATGTCCACACACACACAAACAGACAAAAAGATTACCGTACTTTGATAGGTAAGATATTTACGCTTACCTGTATAGAGGGCAGCAATATGATAAACTCCTACCTGAGTTGCATTACTGGGAATGAAAAATCGAGGAAGAGCCTGAACACTATTCACCATCTTGTTTTTGAATCCGAATCCACCCGTGTTCAAAGACTGCTGCAGTTTGTCACTTCCCGATGTGCTTGCATTCACAACAAAGCTGAAGTCGTAGAGCAGTGGCTCAAACTCTGGCTGTTTTTCAAAGCGTAGTAAGAGCTCCACATCATTCAGAATGTCACTGGTCGGTAGAAAATCCAATATTATGACCATTCCACTTTTTTCATTGACAAATGCTTGACCTTTCACAGTGTCGTTTGTGGTAAGTAATGGCAGTGAAATCTCCTGCCCTACAATTTTTTGATTTGTAACCTTAATTATTGCAGAGGTAACATTGATACGTTTTTTAGCAATGCTAATCTTCAAGCTGACCACCGAACTGTTCACGGGAGATTTCTTATCCCACAAAAATGGATTTTCTACAAATGAACATACCTTGAAAAGAGAACACATACAGTTGCTACGTAAAAAAATATGCACGAACAGTATGTAAAAAATACATTCCATTGATACTATCAAAATTATATATTTCACATCAAATTAGTCGGCTTAAAATTATAATTATCACTGGATACACTGGATAAACATAAACATATGTTAATAATTTGTACCTGGACATTTATTTTGTCCTTCAGCTGTAATAATGTTGAACTATTGGTCCCAACAAGTGAAGCACCACTCCCATCTACTGATTTCCAGGTTGAGTTGAGGAGGGCTTGCTCAGAAACTGTCTGCATCACTAGAGACATATTGTTACCATTTAACGTGACGGCCTTCTCTCCAGATACAGAATTTTTACTTTCCACTTCTCCAATCAGCAACAATGTGTTGTATGCATTATTGAAGGTATTTTTCTGAGAAAAACCAACAATGTTTACACATTTTAAAATCAGTGAATACTTAGCAGTGGAACAATGTGTACTCAGTTTAGAGACAACATATGGTGTTCTGTATTACATCTTAATTATGAAAGTTATTATATAACGTTATTGTTTTTATTATTATTATGTAATTTAGGGATACTGCCATCGTCGTGTAATTGTCAGCACATTGGACCTGCAATCCCGAGGTCACTGCTTTTGCGCTCCTGATACAGCAGTTTAAAAAGTGGACAAGGATGAGTGCCTTCCAGTTTTGGATAAGATATATTTTTAAGTGGCAACAGACATAGTTATGTTGCTGAGCAAATCACTAATTTTATGTAACGCTGAATACAGCATTTAGAAACAATGTTATTTCACTTATTGTATGACAGGACTAAGATATGTAAGATTAAATTGTCATAAAAGTAAATATAAGAAGGATGAACAGACTGATATCAAAAGTAGTTACAATGAAGGGAGCAGCTGCTGTTTTTACAATTACAGCCTATTGCATGGGAGATTTACTTGGCAACATTAATTGCAAAGGAGATATACAACAATGTAAGCAGAATGATACATTTAGAATTAAAACTTTCGTGACTGCAGAAATTCATATTCTTGGTTCTTCTGGTAAAGTCACGTAAATAGAAAACAAAAAATCAAAGCAAAAAACCCACTATGAATAATACAATAATAAAATAACCACTTACCAAATATGAGTCATTTTTTGCAAAAGATGATATTTGGTTGTTGTTGTTGTTTACATCACTTTGTAAATTCAATTGCATCTGAAATGCATTTGCACCTATTTCAAAGATGTCTGCCAAATATAAAGAAACAACTCAACCCGAGTCACAAAATCACAATTATTATTCCCTTAAAGTTACGTCTTTAGAAACAGTTTAACTTTCAGTGATTGAAATACATTTAGAATCAGCAGTTGGTCATGCCAACAGTGTTACTTTAATTATGTATAAAATGCATAGCAATTACCTGTAATGACCTTCGTTATATACTTCCTTTGCACATTTCTCATCACCTTCATTTGTTGCAAAATTGTTGTTGCAGTGTTGATTAAAGCATTCTAATGTGGGACAGGCATATTAATTAATCAAATTGCTACATCACACAGTTTATACAGTGAGAGAAAAAAGTATTTGTTCCTCTGATGATTTTGTACATTTGCCCACTGACAACGAAATGATCAGTCTATAATTTTAATGGTAGGTTTATTTGAACAGTGAGAGACAGAATAACAACAAAATCCAGAAAAACGCATGTCAAAAATATTATAAATTGATTTGCATTTTAATGAGGGAAATAAGTATTTGCCCCCTCTGCAAAACATGACTTAGTACTTGGTGGCAAAACCCTTGTTGGCAATCACAGAGGTCAGACCTTTCTTGTAGTTGGCCACCAGGTTTTCACACATCTCAGGAGGGATTTTGTCATACTCCTCTTTGCAGATCTTCTCCAAGTCATTAAGATTTCGAGGCTGACGTTTGGCAACTCGAACCTTCAGCTCCCTCCACAGATTTTCTATGGGATTAAGGTCTGGAGACTGGATAGGCCACTCTAGGACCTTAATGTGCTTCTTCTTGAGCCACTCCTTTGTTGCCTTGGCCGTGTGTTTTGGGTCATTGTCATGCTGGAATACCCATCCACGACCCATTTTCAATGCCCTGGCTGAGGGAAGGAGGCTCTCACCCAAGATTTGACGGTACATGGCCCCGTCCATCGTCCCTTTGATGTGGTGAAGTTGTCCTGTCCCCTTAGCAGAAAAACACCCCTAAAGCATGTTTCCACATCCATGTTTGACAGTGGGGATGGTGTTCTTGGGGTCATAGGCAGCATTCCTCCTCCTTCAAAACGGCGAGTTGAGTTGATGCCAAAGAGCTCCATTTTGGTCTCATCTGACCACAACACTTTCACCCAGTTGTCCTCTGAATCATTCAGATGTTCATTGGCAAACTTCAGACGGGCATGTATATGTGCTTTCTTGAGCAGAGGGACCTTGCGGGCGCTGCAGGATTTCAGTCCTTCACGGCATAGTGTGTTACCAATTGTTTTCTTGGTGACTATGGGCCCAGCTGCCTTGAGATCATTGACTAGATCCTGCCGAATAGTTCTGGGCTGATTCCTCACCGTTCTCATGATCATTGCAACTCCACGAGGTGAGATCTTGCATGGAGCCCCAGGCCGAGGGAGATTGACAGTTCTTTTGTGTTTCTTCCATTTGCGAATAATCGCACCAACTGCTGTCACCTTCTCACCAAGCTGCTTGGCAATGGTCTTGTAGCCCATTCCAGCCTTGTGTAGGTCTACAATCTTGTCCCTGACATCCTTGGAGAGCTCTTTGGTCTTGGCCATGGTGGAGAGTTTGGAATCTGATTGATTGATTGCTTCTGTGGACAGGTGTTTTTTATACAGGTAACAAGCTGAGATAAGGAGCACTCCCTTTAAGAGTGTGCTCCTAATCTCAGCTCGTTACCTGTATAAACGACACCTGGGAGCCAGAAATATTTCTGATTGAGATGGGGTCACGTACTTATTTCCCTCATTAAAATGCAAATCAATTTATAACATTTTTGACATGCGTTTTTCTGGATTTTTTTGTTGTTATTCTGTCTCTCACTGTTAAAATAAACCTACCATTAAAATTATAGACTGATCATTTCTTTGTCAGTGGGCAAACGTACACAATCAGCAGGGGATCAAATACTTTTTCCCTCACTGTATCAAAGGAACATATTGGCTTACAGTGGTGCATGTGTAGAGTAGAGATGTACGCAGTGCGCACAGTTAAGCAAGTGCAATTGAGGACGAGCAGGTGTGCGCGTTGGAGCATGAGTTTGGTGCCAGAAAGCCGGCAGTAATTAAGGTTGAGAAGCGGGTGCAATCGAGGACGAGCAGGTGTGCACGCTGGGGCAGGAGGTTGGCTCAGGAGAGATGGGAGTGATGATAAGGGATTAATGAGTGCAACAGGCGCCGTGGAGGCGACAGCTTAAGTGAGGACTCTGAATGAGGAGGGGTATTTAAGCGGGAGTGTGCGTGAGCAAAGTTGAGTTGTACGGGGACCAAGAGTGAAGACATCTCGCCGCTGCCGTTTGAGCCGTCAACGGGACCTCGCCCCTCACGCAGTGTTGGCTGCACCCCTCCCCCCCCCGCTGGGGACAGATGGGTGAGTGGGTACGTGGCAGCGTACGAGAGGGCAGCGGTGAGATAGGAGAGAGTAGGTGAAGTGCAGAATAGGTGAGGTGCGGAGTAGGTGAGATGCAGAGTGTGTGGTGACAGTGGAAGACAGTCATAAGAGTGCCTACAACAGGTGCAAGAGTAGGATTAATAAAGTGTAAACAGGTGGCCTGTTAATCCGTGTCAGTGTGAGTAATTTCAAGACACTACATTTGGTATCAGAAGTGCTGAAGATCCTTCACCATATTCTTTCGCCGTCATGTCCAAGGCAGCGGTGGAGCGCAAAAATCCACCTGTTGCGTTGTCCAACTACGACGCCGAGCAAGACGTTGTTCCTCCGACAGCTCGGGGTGCCAGAGCCCCAAACACCTGTTCCGACGACGCGCTCCAGTCCGCCCAAGAGTGTGTGGCGAGCCCAGCCCAACCGCCTCCTCCGCAAAGCTGGCTGGACATCGCCGGTCAACCTGGAAGATTGCTGCCAGCCGCCGCTCATCTCTTCGAGCGAATGACAGCTGCAACTTCCGTAGGACACCAAGACGCGATTCCCGCTGCTGTCATGGCCGAGGTGACAGGGGCGCTGTACCTTCCCCCCATTTCAGTGGCTGCAGCCGCGCTCTGCTCGTCCTCCATTTCGAGCTATCCGCCCGCGCCGCAGCAGCCAGCCGCCACCTCCTCCGACATCCAAGGTTGAAGCCACCTCTTCACTCTTGCTGGACGCTTCCAAGTTTCGGCGGCTGCCACCGGTTCGCCAGTTCACTGCTGCAGGAGGAGATTGGATGGATTTTTGTCTTCGATTCGAGGCCACCTACATCTCTATGGGATGGACATCCCACGGGGCGCTCAAAGCTCTTCCCATGGCACTCACCGACGACTCGTTGGACACTTTTTTTGCCATCCCCGAGTTGGATCGAGCGACCCTCGAGCGCGCCTGCGCCGAGATAGCCGCTGTTTTTGATCCACCATCTAATGTTCAAAGAAGATTCAGGCTGAGGCAACGGGGAGAGAACAAGATGCCACTGGCTTATCGTAGTGCACTTCTTGCCTTGGGACACGCGGCCTACTCTAGCATGGACAGAGTCACCCTGGATTCCCTCACCTTGGAGCGGCTTCTCTCCTTGGCTCGTGAGTTGGGGGTCGCCTTCTCGGTGGCGGAAGAGGGCGACCTGACCTCTCTGAGGGTTGCCTGCGGCACCCAAGCACACCTCAACCTCATCCCGTCGCGTCTCATACACAGAGTGCGAGGTCGGTAGTGTGTTGGCCACACGGCACCGAGCAGTGGAACGTACTGGCTCATCACGTAGTGGGCGCCACGGTGGGTTCCTCAACAATCATGGGGTTCATTCAGGAGATCCAGGTTCGTCTGCTGGTAGACACAGCAGCCTCAGTGACCATGGTTTCCGAGGCTGTGTTTTGCATGTTACCTTCGTCGTCCGGTCGTCTTGCACAGAGTTTTTTATGCAGGATGCCTTTGAAAATTCTCCTCGACCAGGGGTGCATTGAAATGCCATCGGGAAAGCGATTGCTGTTTTTTAACTCCCCCAACCGGGAGCCATCACAGAACACTGTCATTAAAGTGATGGCTAGCCAAACTGTTAAAGTTTCTCCAGGTGCCCAGATGCTCATTCTGCTGCGTTTCCGCAAGGAATTGCCATTGATGGGCCCTGAGGAAGGTGTCCTGCTAACCCCTTCAAACGCCGTGGCGCGATCTCCTTCCCTGGTGGGCGCTATGACTATTGTATCCGCCAAGCGGATGCCATTCCTCCAAGTACTTAATACAGGGCATGCACTGGTTGTGAATTTGTCGGCCACTGTCCTGGGGCATGCCACGGCCGCCCAGTGTTTTTACAATACAGAGTCAGCTCCTGTTTTCGCGGGAAGTGTTGAAAAAACTTAAAGAGCCGGACTCCGCATGGTTGGAAACTCTGTGCTCCGAGAACCCTGGATTGACGGAGGTTCAGCGAGCTCAGCTGTGCCACGGAGAAGGAACAGGTACGCCTGGCTGTGGATGAGATGCTGGCAGCTGATATTATTTCCCCGTCCAAGAGCCCGTGGGGGGCGCCCATATTCCTAGTGAAAAAACGCAATGGTAACTTGCAATTTTGCGTTGATTTCTGCAAATTAAACGATATATCGGTGGCAGATGCATATCCCCTCCCTCGTATGGACGATTCGCTAGATGCGTTATCGGGCGCACAGTTTTTTTCGACCCTCGATTTGCAGTCCGGATTTTGGCAATTCCGCCTCAAAGAAGAATCTAAACCAAAAACCACTTTTCGCATGCTCCAGGGGCTCTACCAATTAAATTCCCTTCCAATGGAACTTCATTCAGCGCCAACCACCTTTCAGCAGTTAATGGAATTGGTCCTAGCAGGATTGCAATGGGATTCTTGCCTAACTTATTTGGACGACTTCATAGTTTTTAGCCGTACCTATGATGAACATTTGCAGCAGTTGCGTTCGGTCTTTGAGAGAGTACCTGTGGCTAAGTTGAAGTTTAAACCTCAGAAATCTCATTTAATTCAGACATCAGTGAAATATTTGCGCCATATAGTCAGCGAAGCCGGAGTTGCCATGGATCCCGAAAAAAATACGTGCGTGCGCATGTGGCAGGTGCCCAAGTCGGTGGCAGACGTCCGCAGTTTTGTTGGATTTGCGTCATATTACAAGTGTTTTGTCAGGGATTTTGCCACCATTGGTAAACCGCTCCACGCCCTCATGGCCAAGGGCCAGAAATTCCGCTGTGAAAAGGCTGAGGAGGATTATTTCCTCGCTCTCCGGGCTGCCCTTGCCGGTGCCCCCCCCCCCCCCCCGCACATATATCCCCATTGTCACCAGGCCCATCATATTGGATACGGACGCAAGCGGTACGGACATTGGGATAGTCCTTTCCTAGCTTGTTGGGGGCACAGAGAGGGTCATGACTTACGGCATTCGAGTCTTGTCTCCTGCTGAACAGCACTATTGCGTAACGCGCAGAGAGTTACTGTCCATGGTCCATTTTATCCAGCTCTATCGTCCATACTTGTACGGGCGGGATTTTGTCATCCACATGGAACATGCGGCCCTTCAGTACTCCCTGCGCATCGACTAGCCATCCAGGCAGCTGTCCCGATGGCTTGAAATCCTTCTCATTTACTGTTGTGTACAGAAAAGGCACCCGGCACGTCAACGCTGATGCACTGTCCTGCTTGCCGCCCCATATTGCATGCACGTGTGCCTCAGGTGCATCACGATGTAAACCCTCGCAAGAGGGTGCACCCATGGTGCTTGCGGTGGCCAGGACAACGCGTATTGAGGGCGCTAAGATGCCACGCGATTCTGTCTTGAATCTTAACCATGATCGTGGGCCAAGCTACAGGTTGATGACGCCTCACTCCTGAGACTGCGCCATTGTGCTTCTCGTGGGCCAGCTATTATGCTCCGCGAGGGACTCCTCATGCGGTGGGAAGGGGAGTTCCAGCATTATTCCTTGGTTGTACCCACAGTCCTTAGGGGAAAACTTACCATAGCCAAACACGAAAAATATATGCACCTGGGCGTTCATAAAACGTTAGCGGCACTAAAAAAGGACTTACTGGCCCGGCATGGAAAACGATGTACTCCTCCTGATAAAAGGCTGTGCCGATTGTGCACGTCGTAAATCTCCTGCCCAGCAACTGCAGATCCCGCTACAGTCCATTGTTGTGTCACGGTCTCCCAGAGAGGACACAAATACCTCCTCATGGGGGTCAAATACTTGATCCGTTGGTTGACCAATTGGCCGCGTCCATAGCCGACGCCTTTTTATATGGCTATGTTCTTGATAAGGGGGGCCCTGAGCAGCTCCTCATGGATCAGGGCAGGAATTTATTCTCTAAGTGGCTTAAGGAGGTGTGTGGCTCTCTGGGCACGTGGAAAATACGTACCTCACCTTATCACCCACAAATGGATGGGATGGTCGAACAGTTGCACAGGACCCTCACGGCCATGCTATGCCAGCAGGTGACCACAGGCCAGTCGGACTGGGATCTTCACATTCCAGGTGTTTTTGCTGCCTGCATGCTAACTCCTCATGCCTCGACGGGGTTCTCACCAAGTTACTTGATGTACGGGAGAGAGCCTGAACCCCCGGTACAGGTCCAGTTGGGCTTGTGCCCTTCCAAGAAGGGGTCAGTGGTGCCAAACCCCATGTTGCAAACGCTTGAGCAGCTGCGGTTGGCCCGCGAGGTTGCCAGGATCAACTCGGCTCCCAGGCAGGCCGGAAACGAGCGGTCATGGGGACAGGGAGGGCCGGGGGTTCCTTGGAAAAAAGGTGACAGGGCGTGGTTACACTGCCCTCAGGTGTCCCTAGGCACGTCCCCTAAACTGTACCATCCCTGGCAAAGGTCGGTCGAGGTTATTGAGGTCCGGCGTCGCAGTGTGTACGTATTTGTTTAGGCCAGCGGCACTGGTTTGTGCATCCATCAAAGCTAAAAAGATACGTCTCGCCTAGTCCTGTCGATTCATCCCCATATCCTATGCGGCCAATGTCTGATGTGTTCAGCGAGCCGACCGCCACGCCTTGGGAAACGGGACGTGAGGGGGATTGTTCTGTTCCGCCTACAGGACCAGAGCACCTAACGTACAAGGATGGGGGAGTAGGGACTCCCGTGGTGGACCACCATGGGGGTGGTCATACTGTTTCCCCTGCAGTGGAGCAAAGGCTTCGCTCTACTAACCTGTCAGACCATTCTTCAAACCCGAGCGATACCAGCTCTGCCTGCGGTGACGGACCTGCCGCATGCACTCCCTCTCAACGCGTCACGTTTCGTTAATAGGAAAGACTATTCCCGCCTTCACATTACTGTTGTTACTGTTTATTGTTGTTATTCCGATTGCCCCCTCCGCGGTCACCGCTTATGATTACTTTATTAATTCGCGGTTCGGTCACACACATGCGCGCACACTCACATAGAATTGACAGCCGGGATGCCTGTGTTTTTATTCACTGGGGGGATGATGTAGAGATGTACGCAGTGCATGCAGTTAAGCAGGTGCAATTGAGGACGAGCAGGTGTGCGTGTTGGAGCATGAGGCTGGCGCCAGAAAGCCGACAGTAATTCAGGGGAGAAGCGGGTGCAATCGAGGACGAGCAGGTGTGTGCACTGGGGCATGAGGTTGGTGCTGGAGAGACGGGAGATGGGGGTGATGATAAGGGACAGTTGCCATGAAGGCGACAGCTTAAGCGGGCAGCATGTGAGGACTCGGAATGAGGAGAGGTATATAAGCGGCAGTGTGGGTGAGCAAAGTTGAGTTGTTCGGGGACCAAGAGTGAAGAGATCTCGCCGCTGCCACTTGAGCCGTCAACGGGACCTCGCCCCTCACGCCATCGCCGGGCGGGTGTTGGCTGAACCCCCCCAGCCCGGGACAGATGAGTGAGTGGGTACGGGGCAGCATAGGAGAGGACAGCAGCGAGATAGGAGAGAGTAGGTGAGGTGCTAAGTAGGTGAGGTGCTGAGTAGGTGAGGTGCAGAGTAGTGGTAAAAGCAGAGTGTGTGGTGACAGTGCAAGGCCGTCATAGGAGTGCCTGCAACGGGTGCGAGAGTAGGATTAATAAAGTGTAACCCCCCCAGCCCGGGACAGATGAGTGAGTGGGTACGGGGCAGCATAGGAGAGGACAGCAGCGAGATAGGAGAGAGTAGGTGAGGTGCTAAGTAGGTGAGGTGCTGAGTAGGTGAGGTGCAGAGTAGTGGTAAAAGCAGAGTGTGTGGTGACAGTGCAAGGCCGTCATAGGAGTGCCTGCAACGGGTGCGAGAGTAGGATTAATAAAGTGTAAGCATGTGACCTGTTACTCAGTGTCAGTATGAGTAATTTCAAGACACTACACATGTATCACTTATACATACCTGGTCACTTGGGCCTGAATATGAAACTATGGAATTCAAAGATGATGCCAGTTGAGACATTGAGTTTTTATTCTGCAGGGGTACGCTGATCGACAGCATTATCTTGATGAGCTCTTTCTGGAGCTAGTGAACACAAGCCAACACCCGCATTAACCACATGTACAGTCTCATCGTGGAACAACACATTGAGCACACTCTTTTCACAGTTATTAATCATGGACCCAATTTATGAAGGATTGTATTTCCTATTTACAAATGCCACTGGAAGGAAACTTTCCTGAATAAAAAAAGTCGGCACAATTTATCGGCAATTTGTATTGCCAATTTGCCAGGAGGAGCAGACAAGATGCCGTTCTGGCACCAAACTTGGCAGCCAATCATGACTTAGGGTCAGGGCTAGTGGAGATTTAGCTTTTAAATTATTAGCGATTTCACAAGAGAAAAAATATAAAGTACGCAGCATACTTTAGATTTCTTTCAACATAAGGTGAGACAGATTTGCACATTGCTGAACTAGCAACTTGACATGGGGTTCAGACACCTGCAGTATTGGAGTGCAGTATATCAAGGTCAAGAGGTCAACACAACTGATATAATCTTTGCCATTCAGTTCTTATGCTTAATTCGACAGCAGGTTGTACAATCACTACCAGACCTCTGATGACTTCGGAGGACTATTCATAGCACGCAATTACCACCTCGGTTTTTCACTTGGTCGCTGTCCTCCGCCACCTGCACACATACTCAAACCATGTAAACTCCCTCTGTGCTACTTAATCCCAGATGATAAGGACGACCATAATTTGACATTAAGAGGCAGTGATCTGACTGTGGTGCTTGTGCTGTGTTTTCCTATGTCAGCAGTTCTCCTGCTGTATCTGTTCCACCTGATGACGGACGCTTGTGTTGCACCCGAAACGTTGTGATTTATTTTATTTTATACCTACGTGACTACCGAAAGAACCAAAGAGTATGGATTCCTGCAAGATTGTTAGTATTAGGTAATCGAATAGAAATGAAGAGTATTCAAACACAGGAGGCGAATTCGCATCAACACCGCATATGTTTGCAGTGAGTTGTATATTTGTGTGCATGTGTGTCAATATTAAAACATTGGCATTCACAAACTGTGAAAATATAAATTTATATTTCTCAAGTACCTCATTTATTTCTGGATCCACTGATGTATTTTCTAAAGATGCAAACACTGTCAATAGGATCCCGGGCAGAAGGGCACTGCCCTGGAGCACCAGATCATTGATTTTGCCTCCAAATGCCAGCATTGCACGGGTATTGTTTTTCAGAATTTCCACTGAAGGACGCATCACCTGTAAAACAAATTACATTGGCAAACATCGTACCAAGTCTTCCTCAATTTGTAAAAAAAAAATAAGAACATAGTTTACCAAGGTCTGACATAGTGACTCCTGAAACTTACAACCATTCTGCTAACTTGGTCTCTTAACTTCTTAGGGATGTAAACATCCACTAATTGCTCACCAATTTAAAGCAGAGAAATAGCAATGTGAGAATTCTTTTTTTACTAACTTTTTTTATTTCTTTTTTTACCAGGTAGGGCGTCCTGAGCTATTTATTTCTATTTCAGAAGCGACCTGGCCACAAATGACAGCTCAACGAGTGGCTTATGTTGACATTTATAGCAGCCAAATATTTTAAATGTTGGGTTGCAGCTACAGGAATGCTGAGGGTTTGTAGCACCGGAAGAGTGGGATCAAGATGCTGAGAAGGTGGCTAGAGGGAAAACAGTGGAGGGGGAGGAAGTCATGTGCAGATGGGACGATAATTAAAAGCGTGGCCTAAGCTAAATATCAATTATGAATTAAAAAAAAACTGTCTGCCAAAACCAAGGATACCATGCGCTATTCATAATTTTACAAGATATGTTTATGACTCACGTTCACAAGTATTGATGCTGATGAACAAGCTCCAAAAGAATTGCACACATTAGCTTGGAGATCCAGTAACCCTTGGGCGTCCAGATCTCCCGCGGGCAACATGAGATTCGGTGTCTGGTGCAGGTACGTGCTGAATAGGTTGAACTCGGTGTTGCCGGACCTTGCCGTGTATGAATGGGAGAACTTCTCTTCAGCTGAACCGTCTTGCAGCCAGTTTTCACATGATAGCTTAAATAACGTGACTCCCGCGAAACCTGTTTAAAACGTGTCCACAGCGTAAAGAATGGAACGCAAACATTGTATGGCTTGTGATGTAATTTTCATTGTTAGTAACGATACTATACTTTACGTCCCTTCGCCAATTCACTGCTGCATAAAGGCCTCTCCACAGTGCCTTGGTTATAGAGGATGTTCAACCATACTCCCAGTTAGTCAACCAGTAACATCTGGCTGTCCCATGACCTGCCAGCGAGCCTAAAAGTGCACCTAGCCTGTCACGAGCTTCGTGGTGACATCAAGGCCACTAAGTGGCGAATTGCGGTTATTTAACCATACTTCACCATGCTGGTCAACCATACTTCACCATGCTATTACCGATTTATGTGGGGGTGGGGATGGTGGGGAAGGGTGAAGATGAGGAGAAAGAGCAGGGCCACTTTAGATGTCACTCGCCACTGACGTTAACAGATTGGTGATGCTTTCACGTACAAGTGTGAAATGGGTCGTGTCATCGCGAATACTGAGTGATGGTGAAGGCATTGTTTAGAGACAAAGACTGATTAAGAAGTTTATGAATAAAGAGATCATGTTGAAGATGACGATAAAATGAAGATTGTGGTGATATAGTGGCGATGACAAGGTGGTGACAAAATGATGATGAAGATGATTATGAACGTGGCATAATGCTGCACAGGTGAGGCAGCGCACACGAGATGGCGCCTCCACTGCACCTCTATTGCATTCTTATTTTCCCCGTTTTTTTCATGGATAAGAGGAACCATACTACGAATGAATCCTATTAACAATGAAGACTTTATTAAAAATAAGAATTGGAGTTACTCTTCGAGCAATAGAAGACGGTCGCTTGTTGCGATCGAAACGTCGTGATCTATTATTTTTTCTACCTACGTGACTTTACCGAAAGAACCAAAGAGTAATAAAAATAGGTGTTAAGATTTTCGGACACCAAATAACTACATTTTGCAAGGAATCAAGTCTGCATTAACCACACGTACTTGTGGTGAACATGCAAACAAACATGCTGTGATAATATATGCATTGTGTTTGAAACTGATTGGCTTAGTCTCACCAGTGTCTGACCAGAGAACTCCAAAAGGCGAAAAGTACAAAGACAATGCACTATCTGACCATTTATAGCTCAGGGTGAGCAGCTATATCATGGGATATTTTTATGAGTGTCTGTGCACGTGGGAGGAATCCAGAGCAGAAAGGGTAAAACTTCTTTATTTTCAAATTTTGATATTGGCAAAAAGGTCCCATTAGAATGAAGAATTTGGTGGCTGAGAGGAATTAATTTCACATATAATGGGATGAGAACTCTCATTCACCAAATTGTGTATCCCAATCCAGCGCCCCCCACACGTATGAGTCACTGAGAGGAGTTCCCCTGCATCTCGTCAGCTCCTCACAATCTCCAGCATGATGCAAATTAATAACTGAATACACCTTCTCTACAACCTCTAAATTCTCACTTCCTACTGGGATAAAAGTGCACCAGAAAACACCTTAACACCCAGCTGTCCAGCCTCAGTAATTCAATCTGGAAAAAGTGTACACATTCATATATGATCTCTCCTGCACATTATGTATAGTGCCAATCTTCATCGGTTTCTACTGATTTATCTATGGTTGTATCAAAGACGTTGCAGAGCAAAATATTGAAATAATTGGATAATAAAGTTTTACATTGTACAAATTATATATACACATGCCATGGCTTCTGACAAACAATCCCTCTTAGGATTATTATTGGCCGTGTATGTCTGCGGACGTAAATTATTTAGTCGCGGGGTGTACAGAGTGCGTGCATCGGAAACCACCGGCACACAGGTCACAGCCTCTATTACAACCGACCATTGTCTCCAGAATCAATTAGTTGGTCGCGCTCGGTATTCTGGGGTCATTTAGAAGTATGTTAGTCATTCTTTTTGTTAAAAGCCTAACTGTACCAATTAATTCATTGATGAAACTAAACATTTATAAACATCTATGTTACGAATCTACACACTCACAGGAAGACTATTGTGTTAAATTATTTCTTTTGATCACAGAATCTTGCCCGCTAATTGATTGAAACCTTAGCCAATTGATAAGCATTTGCTAGACAAGCAGGCACACTGCCGCACACAATTGTTCCAAGACATTTCGTTAGTTGCATAATCTTACCAATGAATTCATTGAGGTCTACTTTTGCTTTCAGGACATGTTTCTTTATTACTGTTCATATGAATATTGTCTCATACATTTTAAGGACTTTTTCCTATTGCCGTATATGGTCGCTTTACTCTGAAGAATTAGCCAATTGTTCTGTTACCCAGTTTAACATACGTAATCATTGAGGGTTAAATGTACGGATCAATGAGTAGGACAACTTGAAGAGTACCGTGCTGACAATTCCAAGCATAAGTGTTCGTATGTTAGAATGTTTTAGATATTAAAGTTGCTTAACATAGAAAAGTCTGAGTGGCACCTTCCTAAGTATTCTGCGGTGAGATCTGAATTTTGGGACCTGACGTAAACACTAAAACATGATCAGTAAAAGTTAAAGCGAGAATCATTGTGTGGTGGTAGTGTTGGAGCACGCACTCACCAAACTGGGCGACTTACAATACTTACCGGTGCGGGTGAGTGTGTCATCCCGGACCAGGCATCCTGAGGGGAGGGGGCTGTGGGGTCTATGTGATCCCACAGGACCCCGCCTCTCTGGGAAGCGGTACAAACTTGTTGTGGGCGGTTCTGTGATGTGGGTCCAGAGCCTCCTGAGGGGAGGGGACTGGGGGGTCTGTGGGATCCCACAGAAACCCGCCCTTCAGTGGGAAATTGTATAAAAGGTGGGACCCAGAGAGCAGAGAGGGGAGTTTGACCAAGCCAAGACGAAGAGCCAGTGAAGAGAGAAGACCGGCTAGCCAGATCCTGGAACGCCTCTGACTCGCTGCCCTTTTCAGGGCCGGGCAGAGCAAGCCAGTGGTGCGATCCCAGAGCCGCGAGGGCCGATGTCCTTCTAAGGACTCGTGTGACTGGCGGTCGAGACCTGCACCGAAGCTCGGCCAGGTCTGTTAGCCTCCTGTGAGGACGGGCTAGAATTGAAGGAGGTAGGGAGTTAACGTGGGCATGAACTTGGGGAACACTTCCCCCTATATAGAACGGGTGAAGAGGCCGTTGCCTCTTCGAGTGTCAGGGTTGCTACTATATTGAAGTATTTGTAATAAATACGTGTTGCCTCAAGTCAACCTTTTCCATCGTCATAAAGGCCACTACAATTGTATTTTCCTGATTGATAATACAACCCTAGATAACGAAGCCAAGCCAAATGAGCATAATTACATACACTTGCATAACTTAATACATATAGGCCTCCCTAATTAGCATAAATCCATAATTTGCATAATTGCATAAATTAGCATAACTTCGGGAACTTGTAAAAAATCATTACATTTTATAATTTTAAAAAAATTTCAAGACCGAATATATACAACATAATGAACGACAAAACGCCATGGAATCTCAATCAACCATGGTCAATTGGCGATAAGGCATGGCTGCATTATCCACAGGTCTCACTCACATACCTCTCCTAAATTGCATCGACCATACCATATTGAAATAAAGTGGCCATAATGTGTGCGTGTGCAATCGGGATGTCGCCAGTTGGTACATTCACCCGTCGTGCCTGAAATCTATATTCCCATCATCACCCGAGCATCTCATTCTCATGCCTTGTTTTGCTTGAGTCTGGGGTGTCCGACAAGCCGCTGCGGCCACCAAAGGCACCTGGATCACAAGTGCATGACCCTGTGCCGCCCACAGAGACGAATGTGACCCAGAACGCTTCAGAGCAGGACCCTGCAGTGGATGCGTTCTGGCGAAAAGAACCTGCTGACAATGGACTGGTCGGCACAGCAGACCATTGCAAACCTTGTTCCCACAATCCTAGTGTCCTTGTTGTTCCTAATTGCGAGAGGTGCAATGTCTGTGCTGCTTAAAGTTATCCACACAACACGTTGTTATTTACACTTTGTTTATTGCCACACTGTCGACACATAAATTTTGTATATGGTATCACTGCGTTCTATGTTGGAATCCCCCGGGCTCCCTATTCTCTGTAGGTTGGTCATTCCTTCCTTAAAGTTAGCTGGGATAGCTCGTTTTTTCAAAGGTGGGACGGGGGGGGGGGGGGTGATGTAATGACCAAAAAAAATACCCCAAGCCGTTGTGCAACCTAACGGCTATTGGAAGATAAACCAAGGTCTCCGAAAGGCAGAAATACACCTCCACATGGATTGGTCAGGAGGCAGGTTTTTTAAGTGATTGGAGTAAAGGGTTTGAATGAGAATAGGCAGGAAACAAAGTTGAACCCAGAGGCGACGGTTGGGATCTGTTAGAGGGGAAGGACAGAGTTTGGCTAAGGGAAATGCAGTGAGGGAATATTCAGGAAAGGGGACTGGAATGATATGAAAGGGCAGAGCACAAGAGGAGGGGACGTTCGAGGGAAAGTATAGCTTCAAATTCAAGCATGCAGCCCAGACCTAGATTGTTTTGTGTTGATAAAGTGGCTCCTAGTACTTTGTCGTCCGAGTCATTATACATTGGTTCTCGTCTTTAAAAGGAAGGGTGGTGTACAAGAGTGTGGGGACTACAGAGGAATAGCATTGATTAGCCACACTGCAAAACTCTGGGAAAGGATCATATAAAGCAGACTGAGGGACTTGTGGGTATTGGCGAGAATCAGTTTGGATTCAGACAGGGAAGGTCAACAATAGATACAATATTTGCACTGAGAATATTGATGGAGAAGTTCAGAGAGAAGAAACGGGACCTGCATATGGTGTGTTGACCTTGAAAAAACATACGACAAGGTGCCTAGAGAGCTCAGCTGGTGGTGTAGGGGAATAAGAGGTCTTTCTCAGGTATATATATCCGGCTGATCCAGGATATGTATGAAGGAGGGAAAATGCATGTCCGAAGCAGTTGTGGAATGTCGGAGAGCTTTCAAGTCAAAGCAGGAGTGAAGCAAGGTTCCGTCCTGAGTCCATTCCTGTCCATACTGGTGTGGGACACACTAACTAGATATATTCAGAGGGAGCCCCTCTGGTGTATGCTGTTTGAAGACGATACTGTGCTATGTGGTGAAAGAAGAGGGGTAGTGGAAGATGATTTAAATATCTCAATACAAAACGTTGAATGGAATGGGTTGAGGACCGGTCGGAGAAAGACGGAGTACATGGTAGCAAATTTCTGTGGAACTAATGCAGAAGGAGGATTGAAAATTGATCAGTTAATGAAGACCAATGAGTTTAAGAACCTGGGTGCAATGATGTGTGCTGATGGATCACTAGAAGGAGAGATGAGAACAATAACAAGGACTGAATGGCTGAAATGACGAGAGATGACTGGTGTGATGTGCGATAAGAGGGTCCCAGTTTGATTTAAGGGAAGAGTGTGCAAAAGAGTGGTGAGGGCATTTCTGTTAAATGTGGCCGAGTACTGTTGTACAAGAAAAGGGAAGGACCAAGCGATGGTGGCGACAGAGATGAGGATGTTAAGATGGATGTTATGTTTAACAAGGAAGGACAGGGTGAGAAATGAAGAAGTGAAAGAAAGACTCAAAGTAGTAGAAATCACGCAGAAAATGAGAGAGAAAAGGCTGGTGTGGTTCGGTCATGTTGAGAGACGACAGGAAGATTTTGTGGATCAGAAGATGCAAGTGATGTAAGTGGAAGGAAAGAGATCAAGAGGAAGGCAGAAAAAGAAGTGGGGCGATGGGGTACGATCGGACATAGTGGCCCGAGGAGTGGAAAGAGAGATGGTGCAGGACAAGGCAGCATGTAGAATGTTGGCAAGGGCAGCGGACCTCACATGAGTGGGACAAACGCTTGGAAGATGACATGCTTACACTGTGTAAAACTTTTGTTTTGTTCCTGGGTAGTAAGTGTTATTTCCTAATTGCTTATGCCTCAAAAGTACAGAAAATGGCTATTATTCCCCACATACTTTGCTTTTCTGATCAGCTTTTCTGATTAAACTTGGAGTCATTTATAGAACATTCTAGAACTTTCCAGTAATGTAAATATAGTATAAATACAGGGGCCTTAAGCCCACCCATTCAGTTTAGTTCCAGCTGCCTAAGTGGATATATATTTGCATTTTTCTGAGATGGCATCAAGTGGCTGCAAGCATTCGGCAGACGCATTTTGCTATGTCTGCAGCAAATTTATCAAGACTTCTTCCCTAAGCTGTCTGAGGCAAAGGTCAAAGCGGGTGTCTTCATTGGGCCACAGATGAAGTAGATCCTGGAGTGAAATTAATTCCCCAAGAAGCTCAGTAGTAAGAAGAAAACAGCTTTGTCGCAGTGGTTCGTGGCTTCCTGGAGCTGGTTGAGACTCTGGTGAAGAACTACGGCACAATGGGCTGTAGGATGTCCCTCAAAGTCCATATCCTTGATGCTCATCTTGATAAATTCAAGGAGAACATGGGAGTGTACTCGGAGGAGCAAGGCGAGCCCTTCCACCAGGATATACTTGACTTTGAATGCCGCTACCAAGGAGAGTATAACGAGAACATGATGGGAGACTACATTTGGGAGCTGATTCGTGAAAGTGATTTCCAGTATAATCGTAAATCTCGAAAAAACTACTCACTTCTAAATCTTTTGTAGTCATTTTTGTATTACTTTAGTATAAATACATGTTACTTTTGATTCATAGGTTGTTTTTTCTGACTTTATGTGAACGAAAAGATACAAATTCGCCCGTTTTCTCATTGAAAATAGGTAAATTTCAAAATATCACTGTCCTGGTTACAAAAGCAAAGTTTGTGGGGAATAATAGCCATTTTCTACACTTTGTAGGCATAAGCAATTACGAAATAACACTTACTACCCAGGAACAAAAATTGTGTTACATAGTGTTATTTGTGCAGGAGCCTGAGAGAGAAAAGAACAACCATCTGTAAACTCAGTGACGCTCATCTGGACATAACAATAGCAAAATATTAATTAATCTGAATTCAGTTGGTGAATATGGTGGTCTGCAGCGATAATGCCAAACTTCATTTTTTTCTGAAAAGATTTGTAATGATTTGTACTGACCATCTACTTACTCTGTCCGTGTGATTATGCATGGTGACAGTTTAATAATGTTCAACTGTTTACCTGATGTGGGATCACTTGTACAACTGCCGTTTGTTGGAGTTGAGCCAGTTTCAAACATGTATGTGGCTTTTGCAGGATCTTTATTTGGGATTTCAACCTGAACGATAATTTCATATTGTTTCCCTTTTTCCAGAGAGTCTTCAGTAACTACTAAGCCTTGAGTATAAATACCTTAAGGAGGAAATTACAAAATTCACATTGTATCATATGGTGCATGTAACATACCATCAAATGATTAGTCATAGTATTGTAATGTATACAATTATCATGTGTTCCAATCCTTATTGCCATCACAAAATATATTGTGCATAGACGTTTAAAATATTCGGTGCCTATTTTTTTAAAAATGCACTGTGAAAGTATGCCCGTCCACAGTTAACCTCTAATGAAATACCAAGGGATAGAGAGTTATTAGCCAGTTGACTTAGTTTTAATAGTCAAAGAGTATGACAAATGTTTTACTTTTCAAAAAAGCATTGTATATTGGACTTCATCTTTGGCAGATTATATTTAAGAGTTAAAAATGGAGCCACTCATTTCAAAGTTTGCCAACATGTGGGATAGTAGGGGTGACCTCCTAAGAGGGACGCATGGACAGTTATTTGACTCTATTGACATATAAAACCCTCAAAATTGAGTCGGCGTAGTATCTCTCAGATACTCATCTTTCACTACATAATCCACGTCAACCTTAGACAAGCATCTGAACATTTGTCGACTCGTCAGGTTAATAAAACAGTTTGGTTCCGGAGTCTTCCCGATCACCACACACACACACACTTTGGAAGAAAGCGGTCATCACACTGAACATTCAATGAGTTCCTCTTCTACATGGCATAAGATCGATGCTTCACCTTTTTTGGCCCATGAACCACTCAGCCGATGCAAACATTTCCGTGGACCAGCCCCCCCCCCCCTCCGAGACAAAACACATTCACTTCTCTCTCTCAATACCATCAATAATACAAAGTGATTAATATTACTATGAGGTTTTTTTCTTAGGGAAGGCATTTAGATCTTAGGGTTAGGTTAGTTTAATAATGTTTTCATTAAATATCAGAAGTAAAATATTAATTAATGTCAAAAACAAAAGATTCGAACATTGTCGTTGTTTCCAGATCAACCTGCATTTGCATGACATCCCAGCGGATCACCTGGAGGACTGTCGCTGACCACCGGTGGTCCGAGGACCGCACTTTGAGAAGCACTGCTTTATAACCAAAGTGAGTTTCATGTTACATTGATATTCGATGACAAACTCGGTTTTGAATGCTTACCAGTAGAAGTCATGGCTTCAAAATCCACGTCTGTAAATTTCTCCATTTTCCAGTGGTAGGTAATTATTTCACCATCGACACAGTTAGCACACCTGACTGAAAGTACTAGCGGCTCTGTCGTGGTAGTTTTCGTATTACAGTTACCAACACAACTGTAAAACAACACTGAATTATTTATAAATCACTGTGTGCTTTCGTGTGATGTTTCTGAAACCCTCAAATTCATACAACAATTATAGCATGTTCACTTTTTGTGGTTGCTACAAGGACAATGATCTCCCATATAACCATATAATACATACGGATTTTGAGGGTTATTACTATTAGCGAGCACCTATTAAGTCCAGTGCAATGCACGATGGAGTGGTGTAACCCAGTTGATATTTACACATCACACCAGATACTGAGTCGACCTATGGGAAGCCCAGAACACGTTCATATACAAATTGTCAATGATCTTATCCATCATCAGAAATTGGTCCCAGGTTGCCTGGGGTTATAGCTCAGTGTGCTAATCACTGCATCACCACTCCCGCACATGTAGACACAAAGAGATCAATTTTTCTCTTCATTGGGTCCTTTTAATATCTTGAAATTGTATCTCGTCAACTAATGATCACTATCCACATTCAATATTGCCATGTCTGGCCAACTACTATCAAGAAGTCAACTGCAGTGCAAAGTGTATGTACCTTATGTATACGTCCACAAAACCTCCTCCCTTGATTTGTAGAGCTTGTGTTCTGTTTTCTTTGCGTGCATCTTTAGTTGCTGTGACTTCAGCCAATATAACAGCATTTATTTCCAACTCAGACTGTGGAATTGATATTATTCCATTATCCATTTCAATGAACTTGCAGTTTGACGTGACATTATTTGGAGATGTTTTGGTGCATTTCCACTGAAACACTATGCCCGTGTTCGACTGGTTTACGTTATCGGGATCGTACGACAGCTCAGATGCGTCGACTTGCACATCGGCCCCATTGCTAATGGTCCTGGTGTCTCCACCTGTGATGTACACTTCTAAAGGTGTTGATTGAACAATGACAGTGAGGTTGTCCTTCATGATTGGCACATATATTGAGGAGAGATTGACTCCGATCTCAATTAAGAAAGTACCCCCAGTAAAATATAAGGGGTCAAATCGCTGATGAATGGCATCATACCCAGGCATGATTTTAATGTTTCCAGTTTGAAGGTTTGTGATGGACCAGATGTACTTGACTTCATCATATTGGACTATGCATGTCAAAATAAAATTAACTATCAAGTCCATTGCTTTAGAAATGCGTAATACCCCAGTCTTATTGATGCTTTCTACATCATCTACTAAAGTGACATTTTCTGGAACACAGCCATAGCTGTTGACATAAATATTTTTTTTATATGTGTTGGTAACATTATTGATTTCCTGAACTACCATGTGGTACATTCCAAAAGCTGAATAATTATAAGACAAATCTATGAGGTCGGAGGTATACGGAACTGTCTCAGAGCTAAGTAGCCATTTATTACAATTATTGGGGCCTTGAATAGCTGCATGATTGTCTCCAAAATCCCAGAGGTAACATGTACCACAAAATAATGCATTACTTATTTGGAACTTTATTAATCCTTGCAAATTCATCACCTTATATGTTACTTCAGTGGGATTATCTTTGCTGCACTTTAAAAGTACTTCCATGCGTAGAGCTATGCTGTCATGCCATTGAGTGGGCCGGATCCTTAAACCACTACTGACTAATGGATAGTAAAAATATTGATACTTTGGTGTTTCAGAGTCTGAGTTTGAAGAAAATAACTGCACACAGAGAAAAGATTATATTAGTACTATCCATATTCCTTTATATAGTGTGAAGGCTGCAAAAACAAACCTGTTTATAACTGCACACAGAGAAAAGATTATGTTAGTACTATCCATATTCCTTTATATAGTGTGAAGGCTGCAAAAACAAACCTGTTTATGAGCAAAGGTACACAAATGGCGTTAATACGTACGCTATTAATTGCACAATCCACACGAAGAAGCCAAGCCAACTACTTTATTCACAAGCTTTGCCACATCGGCACTGTATGTAATAAAACTTTTCCCAATGTAAAATGTGATACTGAAACCTGTCATTAAAATTTCACAGTTTATTCACCCCCAAGATTCCATCTACTCCTCAACTTTCCATAAATTCACTTCCTTGCTTCCTTACAACTTTCCCAAGATGTTTTGTCAGCAGTAAATACAATTATACTGCCTTCAGACCTTTAAAAAGAATGAAGATGTAGGTTTTCATCATCAGCCATGAATTGCCTGTTGCTGAATGAAGGCTTCCCAAGCCATCACTATCCTTCATATCTCGTGCCTGCGCACGGCTTGATTTCATTATTCTCGCTCACCATCAGCCTTGATATTATCAGCGCTTGCAATTTAAGGACGTTTACGAATGTGCTGAAGCGTCATTTGAAAGCTACCTTTGAATAAAACAATACATAAACGTGTTTTGAGCAACGACTTACCTGCACATTTATTTCGCTCCAAAGCAAGGTCACTGGGTCCATTGTGTCCAATGTATAGGCCCGCACCCAGCTAGGATTTAAATTATACCGTGCATCCACCTGTGGCACTGACCCTTGGAAAATCAATCCTGTGACCTTTTCCACACTCGGGAACACAATCTGTAAGTATTCAAATGAGGTTTGGAACTTTGGACGCCAGAACCCCAGCATGTTGTCCAGACGAGCATACTTGGATGAAAAGTTGGCATTGTATTCTGATGAGGCTGTTAACAGGGCATCCGACAGGTTGCCCATTTTCAGTCCGATAGGACGCTTGTAATCTAAAATTTCACAGGGAACTTCATTACTTTTCACACCAGTCAATTGCAATGACAACTGGTCTCTCTCCCATGTTCACTTTTTTTAATTAAAAGTAAAGTGTTGCAGCTCATTGACATGTCACATCTCTTTTTTTTTTACAAATGAGTCTAAAATAATGTATGCATGAGGATATTATTTAATCTTGATTTAACACGTAGGATTTCGCGACCAAGATCATCCATAACATAGATTTTTTTTGGGTTAGATGGCGTAAATATATAAATGTGTTGTTAAACCCGCCACCACCCGCCATTTCCAATTAATAAGGTTTGTCACGTAAACAGAACATACCAATTCGTTACGAGTACAGCACACCGTTGTGTTGGAGAGCCAAGCCACAACAGTTACAATCTGAGTATGACGTTTCGCCAGTAATTGCAACTAGTTTCATTAGGCGACAGCCAGATTTGTGGAGAAGTCCACCTGTTTCGTTCCTTAAATAGAGGCGTAGATGTGATGACCACATTTGTGCGCTCTTCTTGCACGATGTGTTGGTGGGGGGGGTTAATGAATCAACGTACATTATGCATGCGCATCATGGGAGCCCATTCATCTTGTACTTCCTGTCCATTGTGTATACTAAAATAGCCGTACCAACGGTAGTTTCTATTGAAGTATGGTGGCCTCGATAGGCATGCATTTAAACGATGTTTTATTTGATGATTCGCTTCCAAGAAGCACTAAGTCCAGCTATCCGAGCGGTTACAATTATTTTAATTTCTCTCAATTTCGATCGATTATCTAATTAGTATTGGCCAGTAGTAACTAGTTTTGCACATGACTTACTGATATTGTTTATTTGCAAATTACTTTTGAGGAAGTTAAATACAATTGGACAAATTATATTGTTATGACATTTTATATTGTGAGATGAAGTAGTTTGGTAGGCTCCAAAAGCATAGATGGAGCAAAACAATGAGTGGAGTTTTGTGAAAACGGTAACAGTGTTATGAGTGATGTTGAGATAGAAACTGAATGCTGGTGACCGACTGATTGGAGTAAATTGGCGAGTTCTGGATGATTGATCAAGATCGGGACTTTGTATAGAACATCCTGTTTGTCATATTCCACACAGCAATATTTGAAAGCTGCTATATTTATGCCTCTCATACACTATGCTGGCATCAGATTAAAAAAATTAAACCCTTAAAATCACTTCGGATTTGGTAAATCATAACTTTATTTTACCGTATGCTTTATCTTACAAACTACTCCACCCATCACAGTGATCTGTATTCAATGACTGGTCAATCCTAATTTTTCAACAAATGCAAATAATTTCAACAGATTTAACAACTATTGGTTGTAATCAATTCACAATGTCAAGTCTTTATTTACATTAATCAAAACTAACACGCCATTATTCTAACATTATTAATTATTTTGTATCATTAACTCTGACTACGCCTGTAGCATCATGTAGATATATGTAAATATGTAAATTTGCATTGATGTAGTGACATCTTGGATGTCACTGTATGGTGCCGGCCCTCTCGGGCCGGCAGCATACATCGCGAACAGCACCGGGTGGGTTGCTGTGTGAGGCCGGCTCTAGAGAAGGTGGACGGGGCTGCTCCGCTATTGGCCCCGCCCACCTTCTCGAGCGTTCTAGCTCACTCTCGATCCCTCTCGAGAGCTCTCCCCGGGCACGTGATCACCCCCTAGCCCCCCCCCACCCACCTGGGGCCCTCTCTGTGGACACTCCAGATCACGTGTCTACAGGGTCAACCAGAGTGCCGTGGCCCAGGGCAACCCTGCCCCTGGGCTGACACTCTCCCACTCCCCCTGGTGGGAGCCTGCACTACACGCGATGCGTGGTGCCCGCACTATCCCAGCGCTCACCATGCCCCGTTATGGCTGGTACTACACCCGCCTATGGGGTGTACGCAATGACAGTGCATCGCACGCCGTGCTGTGCTAGGGCCGGCCTCAAACAGCAACCCACCCGGTGCTGTCCGTGATCTAGGGACATCGCACACCACGGCCCACTCGGGCAGACACTATATAGTGACATCCCGATGTCACGACATCACCCCCCCCCCCACCTTCATAAGGTGGGTCCCTGGGAGGGAACGGGGTTCTTCGTTCTACATGCTGGAAGCTCCACGTCTACAAGCTGGAAGCTCTACAAGGCATCAACACCTGGTCAGGGACCCGAGTGAGGGTCTGACCCTTCGTAGCTATAACTTCTATCTATAGAGTAGTTAGCTGGGTGGTCACCACCCTAAGCTGTATCTGGTGAAGGGGCAGTTACCCTTTTGTGTTAACGGGTTGATGTTACAATAAAAGTTTTGCCTCTAAAGAACAACATCTGCGACTCAGTTGGACTCACTACAACTGGTGTCGGAAGTGCGGAAGTGCCCAACATGCTAGTCTATACAGCTAGCAGTAGACTATGTCTACACATTGCAGACCACGTACCAGGACGTCGGACAGTGAGGACGAGGACCTCGTGTTGCCTACAGCTCTGGAGGACGCGGTGAAGATGCTCCCGGTGGAGCAGGGCGCCAGCCAGCCGCTCGACACTTCGCCGTCGGCAGAGGCATCTCTCCGGGAGGCGCACGGTTGCCTCGCAGAGCTCCTCCACGCTGCTGCTTCACTCCTTGCGGAGACCAGTCCAGTGGTCTCCCCAGTGAAGGAAGGAGTGGCAATGGCGCTCGTGGACGGCGACTCCGCCACCATTTCACAGCAGGGGGGAAACTCGGCGGCACAGCCCGCGCTTTCGGCCGCCATTTTGTCGCCAGCGTGGAGCGCGCAGCCCGCCAAAATTGAAGGCGCGCCGTCGGCGCCGATGGACATCCCAGCTCTCCGACATCGGCTTCCCTTCATTAAGGAGTTCGTGGCTACCAGTGGTGACTAGGTGGCTTTCAAGCGGCGATTCCTCACAAATGCCGACTTGGCGGGATGGACGGAGGCGGAGGCGCTGCGGGCGTTACCTGCCGCCCTCGACGACAACACCCTTGCGGCATTTCTTGCCATCCCGCTGCCGGAACGCAGGCTTTCGACCAGATGGCATCTATTTACAATCCTCCGGCGAATACGTGCCACAAATTCGCCACAGGACGGAAGGGGGAGAACGAGTCGGCCCTCGCCTTCCATAGTGAGCTTTTGGCGCTAGCGAAAGCCGCCTTTCCTAAAATGGACCACGATGGAATTGTCGTGTTGATGATGACGTCTCATCCAAGCCCAGCAACTTCTACAATGGGACAGGGAGCTGGTGACATGTGCCATGTCCTGCATGGAGCCGGGGTCACCGGATGGAGGGGAGCCCCTGTGGGCATGCGCGTCGACTCGGGGTGGTCGCGACCGGGGTGACAGTGGTGCGCGACGGACGGACAAGCTGCGGCGGCCAAGATCGTCGTCTCGTTCCCTACAACCTAAGGCGAGTCACAATGCCCTCCATACTCGACATCTGGCCTCATCTCATCCATCTAGGTGCTTTGGTTCACGTCCCAGTTGTGCATCGGTACGGGAGAGTCCTATGCGTAATCGTGAGGTTCGTCAGCTCCGACCGGATCAGTGGTCGGAGCTGGCCCATCTAGTGGTAGCGGCGGCCGCGGGTTCATCTGCCGTGCTTGGGTTATTGAGGGTGTGGAAATTAGGATGCTACTCGACACAGGTGCGCTGGCAACTATCATCTCGGAGTTAATTTACAATATTTTGGCCCCCAAGTGTCAGGTTCTAGACCCTGTTGGTGTACCATGTTTCGCCGCTAACGCCATCTCATTTGGTATTATCGGTCGGATAACGGCCGAGGTGCGCATCGCTGACGTTAAATTGTCTGGGGACATTCTTGTCTCTACGTCCCTGGCTGTTCCATGTTTACTTGGAACCGTTTTCCTGGGTAGGATGCCTTTGAAAATCCGCATTGACCGTGGCCGTTTGGAATTGCCATCCAGTCGTCGTATGCCAGTTTTGCCTTCCCCCACACGATTGTGTACGGCCAACGCTACGGTGCAGGCACTCGCGCACCAAACAGTGAGAATCCCTCCCTGGCGCGCAGATGTTCGTTCCCCTCCACTTGAGGAAGCCGCTCGATTTGGGAGCTATAGAGAATTGAATTGTTTTGGGTCCTTTCAACAAGGTCAGTTGCGAACTGACTTTGGTGGCGGCTCAAACGATAGTGCCCAACGACCAGGAGCTTTTTATTCAGCTTCTTTATGCTGGCTTGGACACCATGGTCATCCAGGAGGGTACGGTGTTGGCTCATGCATCACTGGCATGCCCGGAAGGGGGCGTCATTGGGAATGTGGGTGCTGAGCCTCATAAGCGACAATCCCGTGATGTGGATGAAAGTTGGATTGACAAACTGCGATGAAAGTGGTACCTTATCTGTAGACTAGATAGGGAAGCTGTGGATGCTCTTGCATGAGTTTTTGGATATTTGTAGCAAGGGTAAATTTTGTATTGGACGTACGTTGCTCCTGAGTCACCACATTGATATGGGCGACACGGCCCCTATCCGGCAGAACCCCTACTGGCTGAGCCCGGCGGAGAAGGAACATGTTCGGCTGGCTATTGATGAGATGTTGGCCGCAGACATCATCTCACCATCCACCAGTCCCTGGAGAGCTCTGATTGTGCTTGTGAAGAAACAGGACGGTAGCTTACAATTTTGCGCCGATTTTAGAAAACTTAATAAGGTCTCTGTTGCGGATGCGTATCCCTTGCCTCGCATGGATGATTCGCTGGATGCTTTGGCGGGGGCACATTTCTTCTCCACCCTGGATCTCCCATTCAGGTTCTGGCAGTTGCCGCTTGATGATGTCTCGAGACATAAGATAGCCTTTCGTATGCCCCAGAGATTGTTAAAATTTAACCGGCTTCCTATGGGGCTCCATTCTGCGCCAGCCATGTTCCAACGGTTGATGAAACTGGTCCTAGTGGGTCTCTAATGGGACTGTAATTGTCTTCAGCTGCACTTTTGATGACCATTTGATCTGTCTGCATATTGTCTTTCTCAAAATGCGTGTGGCTAACCTTAAATTTAAACCTCATAAATGTCACTTATTCCAGAAATTGGTTCGGTATCTTGGCCACATTGTTAACGAATCGGGTATTGCGACCGACCCAGAGAAGACTGCGTGCATTCGAACTTGGCCGACCCCCACCTCGGTGACTGAGGTGCGCAGTTTCATCGGCTTTGAGTCCTACGATCGCCGTTTTGTTGCTGGGTTTGCGTCAATTGCAAAACCTCTCCACGCGTTAACGGCTAAGGGTCATAAGTTTCATTGGGGGAGGAGGAGGAGGAGGTGACATTTCGAATGCTCCTCCACTGCGTTATCCGGATTTTTCATTGCCGTTCGTCATCGATACGGATGCTAGCAATATTGGTGCCGCCTTGTCGCAGGTTGTTGACCGGGTGGAGACAGTTGTTGCGTATGGCAGTAGAGTGCTGTCTCCGGCCGAACAGCGTTATTGCGTTACACGCTGTGAATTGCTAGCCATTGTGGTTTTCATGCAGCAATATCGCCCCTACTTGTATGGCAGATGATTTGAGGTGCGCTCTGATCATGCAGCACTCCAATATGCGCTGCGTGTGGATCAGTTGTCAGGCCAATTATCACGCTGGCTAGAGATCCTGCAGGACTTCTCGTTCCACGTTACGTACCGCAAGGGTTCTCGCCATATGAACGCCAATGCCCTGTTGTTATTATGGGTTCGTTGGTTTACACTCTTCTCCCTGTTGGTTTGTGCATTTGTGGCTAGTGTAATTTTTGTTACTGGTGGGTTAGGGTAATTTATTTTCGTTCTTGTTATTCTTGAGGCACACTGTGTTTTTTCCTTGCATTTCACTTAATTGTTCATTTGGAGGGAGGAGTTGACAGCTGGGACGGCTGAATGCTATAAAGGGGGGGGGGGGGGGGGGGGGAGTGATGTAGTGACATTGGGGATGTCACTGTAAAGTGCCGGCCCAAGAGGGCCGTGGCGTACGATGTCCCTACATCGCGGACAGCACTGGGTGGGTTGCTGTGTGAGGCTGGCTCGAGCACAGCACGGTGTGCGATGCACCGTCATCGCGTACACCCCGTAGGCGGGTGTAGTACCAGCCCTAGCGGGGCTTGGTGAGCGCTGGGATAGCGCGGACACCACGCATCACGTGTAGTGCAGGCTCCCACCAGGGGGAGTGGGAGAGTGTCAGCCCAGGGGCAGGGTTGCCCCGGGCCATGGCACTCTGGTTGACCCCGTAGACACGTGATCCTGAGTGTCCACAGAGAGGGCCCCAGGTGAGGGGGCTAGGGGGTGATGACGTGTCCGGGGAGAGCCCTCGAGCGGGATCAAGAGGGAGCTAGAATGCTCGAGACGGCAGGCGGGGCCAAGAGCGGAGTGGCCCCGACCCAGAGGATATAAGGTGGGTCCCTGGGAGGGACCGGGGTTCTTCATTCTCCATTCTGGAAGCTCCCCGTCTACAAGCTGGAAGCTCTACGAGGCATGGTCAGGGACCCAAGTGAGGGTCTGACCGTTCGTAGCTTTAACTCCTACGTATAGAGTAATTAGCTGGGTGGTCACCACCCTAGGCTGTATCTGGCGAAGGGGCAGTTACCCCTTTGTGTTAACGGGTTGATGTTACAATAAAAGTGTTGCCTCTAAAGAACGTCTGTGACTCAGTTGGACTCACTACATTTACATACGTAACATATTTTATATAATATTCCATTATATTACAATTAGTGTACGTACATAAACCTCTAGGCATCATTTATTGCTACTTTCTGCTCGCCTGTGGGGGCATGTTGGTGGCAGCATGGCACCATTGGAGGCCCACGCCTCACTATCAGTCACCACGCACAGATGCATGGTGACTGATAGTGTAGTTGGGCAGCTAAATGTGACCATTACTTTCAGCGTGTGACGTAAATGTAACGTATTGCTTAAATGTTCTGTTATCCGCAAATGAGTGGATTGTATTGTGAGTGAAAGATCATAATTTATAAAATAATTAATGTTGGAAACCTAAACATAGCCTTGCAGAAGGCCATATTTAGTGGTGGTGGTAACAGATTAGTCCCATCAACTATATTCTTGGTTCTTTTGGTAAAGCCATCCACATATACAAACACAGAGACAATTTCAACTGAGAAGATGGAATCTGGCTCAGCAATCATTGGAAGGACGTGGTAAACCATTTCAGGTCTTGAGTGATTGTGTTCACGTTTACGGTGACTTTCAGACCACAGTCTATTCGCTGGCATTGACTAGAAATCTTTTGTATTCTCCTCACAGATCGGAGTCTTTGCTCCGCTACAAGTTTCCTGTTACCACTCTCCCATTGCATATCTTTAGCTTCCTCATAGTAAATTTCACGCGACGGTCAATGATATGGTGTATAGCAGATTGTATAATAATACATAGAAAAATAGTATAATGTTTAATATAATGTATAAGGTAAAATATAGTATTGTAATTGTAGAGTGAATATACAGCAGTGTTGTATACAGTAGGGTTTGTAGAATAATACATAGTGTAATATTACAATGCATATTCTAAGGTATAGGGTAGTGTATAGTAACGCAGTGTGGTTTGTCTATGGCAGTGTATATGACGGGGTATAGTGGTGTGATGTAGAAAAAAAGTTTAGTTGGAGGCATATTATATTTTTTGCGACGTAAAATTGTAATGTATAATGACTTTTTGTTAGTAGCAGGGTAGTTGCAGTTGCTTAGCGTCAATATGCTAAATTTCTCTGCTGATATGTAAACTCAGCTTATTGGAGAGGATATTGAGTATATTGATTATATTGATGTAGTTTATATTTTAGTTTTTTTACCGGTTCACTATATGGTAGTCATTAAATAGTGTAGAGTATACCCAGTTACTTAATGTGAATAGCTCAGCTTATTGGAAAGTGGTGGTTGTTTCTCTCTATCTCCCCCCTCCTCCGTTCCGAGCAGAGATGGACTCGTCCATCTGAACAAAGCTCACCGCTTTCCGTGGTGCTATCGTTAATGAAAAAAAACGCCACTTTTTTGACATAGAAGTGTAATGTATAATGACTTATTGTTAGTAGCTCAGCTTATTGGAGAGTATATTGAATTTATTGGTTATATTGATGTAGTTTATATTTTAGTTTTTTTTATCAGTTTACTATATGGTAGTCATTATATAGTGTAGTGTATACCCAGTTATTTAATGTTAACAGCTTAGCTTATTGGAGAGTATATTGAGTGCATTGATTATATTGATGTAGTTTATATTTAGTTTTTTTTTCACATCGGTTTATTCCATGGTAGTAGGGTATTTGTAGTTCTTTAGAAACTCCCTTTTTTGTTTTCCACATAATGCACTAACTTTATACGCGGTGGTTTGGGCTGTTGCAGTTCTTTATTATAAAAAAATGATCTCCCTTTATTACTGCTAATCCTACATAATACATTAGCATAATATGACTTTGAGACCCCCCACCGCCTACACATTCCACAAGGAGTGACTAATCCCATATATGCATTTGTCATCAATATGCTAAATTCCTCTGTTGATATGTAAGCTCCTTTGTCAAGGCGCTCTCCTCTCCCACCCAGCTTAAAATACGCTGCCAAGCTTAGCAGTGTTCATTAGGACGCTGTCTTTCCGACAGCTCTGTTTCTTCACCTGAGGACGGCTGCTTGTGTTGTGGCCGAAATGTCGTGGGAATTTTATTATATTATGTTTAATTTTTATTATTTTATTATTTCCCTTCTACGTGACTTTACCGAAAGAACCAAGAATATGAATCCCTGCAGTCACGAAAGCTTTAAATCGATACCATCAACTACTGCATATATTGACATTATCTTGATATATTTACTTGGTTATTTAGTTTGCAGTGTATACAGGTTCCTATTTTGAAAATGTATGGTATTTTAAACAACTTACCATCTGGATAAACTGTAATGGTATAGGTTGCATAGAAGCCTCGATTATTGAAGAAAGAACTAGTTAATAGTCGCAAAGTCAGTGAGTTACCAACAGTCTTGATTGTAAATCCATTTCCAAAATACTGGTATATGTTGGAAATATCATTTTCGTAAATCATCATAAAATCAAACCACCCGATTCTGCATGTATAAAAAAAGAATAAAATTAATAAGGCAACATGCAAACAACACGATATGCAACGTAATTTCAAGGGAATAAAATAAGTTTAACTTAAAATTCCATTATAAGCGGTGTATATCATTTTCCAATTATTGCAAATCTATGATAATCCACGCTCCTATCATCCGCAATTCCATTAATTCAGACCGTTTCTCTGTTTGAATATGCTTTATATATAAACTATACTGTGCACACCAAAACAGAACACCAATTTAAATTCTAGGTATTGACTAATCCCACATAGGAATGGGTTACATTGCCTCCTCTTGAATTATGAAGGCACAGTCATAAGTGAATTTCTTTGGTTTGGGAATACATGGTATCGAGTATGTTTTTGTTCAAGAGTATGGTTGCTTTATCATGATGACGTATTGTTAAAACATGTTCATTATAAATATACACTTTATCATTGAAGCAGTGCAAGCATGCCACTTACGCCTGGTCCACGACGGTGAGTGTTATGATAGAGTCGGGTGGACCTACTATGACCCAGTAGCCATCATACATAGATGGGTAATCATATGGATAGTTGGGGCTGGTGAATGATCCCTTGAGATTTGTGAATACATGTGTTATTCCGTCTGCAATGTAAATATGTTTTATTCATCATTATGACCACATCACAAGGATACCTCATTGAATTTCAACAATTATCAGAAATTATCGTTATTATTACATCACTTTCATCGCTACTGTGATGATTAAAGACCATTATCAAACAATTAAAAAGGTCAAGTGCAGGTCATTAAATTTGGAATAAAAGACCACCATATAATGACATATATACATATACAAATATACATCTAGATGAGTATTTAATATAACAAACAAACCCTTTTAGTCTTACATTAAAGAAAAACATTGATCACCGCTTGCATGTCATGAATCAGTAAAATTAGCTTACCTGTAAGCTGGGAATGGTAAGTGAAACTTGCAAGTGCCAAAACTACAAAAAAAATAATCGTCTTCATTTTTGTACTTAAAACCCTGAAGTAATACAAATATAGAAAATTTTAAATAAACAATGCGTATTAATCTTGCAATTGTGGATAGCAATGTGAATTAAAACCATTGCAAAATTAGATTATTCGAAATACATTCAGTCGGCCATCATCCAGTTTCTAAATACAATTTAATTAAGCCAAGGCAGCAGACGTCGTGCTGCTCGCAGCAGACATCGCAGCTATCGCGATTTTCACCTTAAGACGATGGCTCGTGTTGCTATCTAAACGTCATTTATTTTGTTTTAGTTCTACCTACGTGACTTTACCGAAAGAACCAAAGAGTATACAATTTAATTAATGTATGGAAATACACTCCTGTCTTCGATTCATAAATAAAGATAGCTTGCAGCCCTTTTGGCAATCTACTGCAGGATGAAGGCCTCCCCATACATACCGTGTTGGTCAGAGACGTCGTGAAATGGGGTTGAACTTTATTTATTTTCGCCTCACTTAAAAAAGTATGATAATATAACTTTCGATTCGCACGGTTGGCTACGGACGGTGCGGAAGAAGTTCAACATACATACATATCAGCTACAGATCAGAGTCTTTACGTAACCACTATTGGGCCCATTGACAATCCATGGCAGACAATGAGCTGTTGAGTACATTTAATAGCATTAATATAGATGGTCATTATTTTCAGATTTCTGAAACAACGCTGGATTGAGAAAGTACTCGAGTGAACAATATGACATAGATCTTAAATATTCGCTTAATAACAAATGTCCCAAGTTGAAAATTCACGTCAAAAATTACCACAAGGCTGCAGGAATCCAGCTCCTAAACTCCTACTACAAAATGTCTCAGTGCACATGCTGCCTCTCAGCAATGGATCGTCAGCCTCTTTAGACATATATTGGAAACCTGAACACAAGCGTGCCGCATTAAATTAGACATGTCCTAAACAAATATTTTACCTTTTCAACTTCTATAATTACCATGCCAGACTCCAAAGGAAGTAAATATCTCAAAAATAAACATTTCAAATGAGCGGTATGTTGTTGCATGACACACAATGCTTCAAAAACAATTACAACAATAAATACCAAAGGTGATGCATCATGTTTTTATTGTTTATTTGTTTCAACACAGTTGCTGAGCACAGGTGAAAGGCCTAAACATGAAGTATCAGATAGGTAATAGGTTAAGTATTTCTTGAAAATTAAAAGGTTATAAGAGCTTGGAAAAGAGACCATGGTTATTTTATTTTACATATGTGACGTTTGAGTTTTTTTGGGAAAAGTACTGAAGAATTATGTGTATGTGTAAAAACATTACTTTTCAATATAATGGCATAGTGAAATTGTTGAGATTATTTTAGTTTATAATGAATGGTTCCATCAGCCTGTACAATAAAGTCCATGTTAATATTTTGATTAGATTATTCTAGAGGTTTTGCTTAATATGCAGTAAATTTAAATTGTTATTGCTAATGATTATATTTTATTACTTAATTGTTATTAAACTTGATTTGGAGGTATTTAGTTATTGTTCAGTTATGTGCACAATTTGTTATACAGTATAAGAATTGGGTATATGCAGTTGCATTAGAACATTTTAAATTAATGATTTGTTTGAAATGTATTTTAAAGGACGCACATAGCTATTTTTGTGTATTAGATTATTTCTGCTTGTTAAATATATTACTTGTATCACGTAAAGAGGCCCAAACAGGACACCAACGTTGGTGTGTGTGTACGTAGCCCGAAGCAGTATAAACATTTGTCAATGTAAACCTGCAACTCAAACCATTTCGTCATTAATCCTGGGACTATATGGACAACAATGACTTGCAAACCTCTTCACCGTCATACACAGGACAGGCAAAATCCCAAAAAAATGGAAGCAAGCCAAAGTCATTGCCATTCTGAAACCCTGGAAACTTCAAGACTTGCACCCATGCTCTAACAGGCCAATATCCCTCTCGTCATCCACCATCCAAGCTGTGGAACGTGCCCCACACTTGCCAGACACAACCCCCAATATCGACCCCTCCCATAGCTACCTCCCGAGCGAGTCATAGCCTCTGCGAACGAATCGTTGCCTTCATCACTCGTTGAAACCTGGTTTCCAACATCAACATAAAACTGGCACAGCAATGATTGACCTCCTCTCTGTTGCCAATTTACACTGTTTGGTGCCGTGGCTTGCTGCTCAGCAACTGTACTTAGGGTGACACCTGGCGAGTAATCATAGCCGCAAAAGAATTGCGAACAATGGTCTGCCTCAAGGCATGGTGCTAGCACCGTCACTGTTTAACATACGTGACATGCCATGTGTATAATCTCACAAGTTCATATGTGCAGATGACATAGCCCTCGTACCTCACCACCAATTTAAGTCCCGATCCTCCTCCTGGGATGTTGTCACCATCCTATCTCACCCAGATTCGGAAGGACACTGGTGAAGAGAGTGCAACAATGCGGACGTCCAGAATAAACACCTAATTCGAGACCCAAACATTACACCTCCCGGCTTAAAAAAAAAAAAACTTGTTATAGCGCTTTGAGACTTCCATCTGTTGAGTGCTTTGAAATAATCTGTAGTAATACTACTTTTAAATTCAACCAAAAGATGTCGATGCTGCCGGCATTACAAAGCTTGTGGGACAAATGCACTTTCAACCTTGGTTGGGAAGCATTAAATACGGATCACACCAAGTGATCGTTAGTGGTGGCTCAAACTTAGCAATTTGTTTCCAAATATGTATCTGGCTGAGCCTTCGTGATTTATGAAGGGTGTATTTCATTTTTTTTATTTTGGTAAAATTAACACAATAGAGGAAAACCTTGACGAACGCAGCCTTATTGAACGGGTGTTTCAACTCTACACGGTGTAAATAATGCATTGTGTTTTCCGTACATGGTCGGACGCTAAGTCGCATCCCTACATCGAAAAGTAGTGCTGAGAGAGTTCTGCATCAGTTTGAAAAATATTTATTTAACACGCATGTTTTTTGCATGTGTATGTTTTTATGTGCTTATGTAACACATTTGTAGTGAGTCCAACTGAGTCGCAGATGTTATCTTTGGAGCAACACTATTTATTCAATAAATCAACATGACATAACACAACCTACACTTGGGTGTTCAATGTTCATCTCGCCATGCTACGGTAGAACTAGACACGGTTCGCTATCTCGGTCCGGAACACAAGCTGGGTCCCGGACCGCGTGGCTAAAGGCTCCTTTTACCCGACGTGGATCTTCTGCACCAGCAACACGAAGAACCCTGAGCCCCTCACGGGGCCCCCGTTATATTGGCCTGGGCTGGGGCTGGCTCCGCCTCTCGCCCCGACCACCTTCTAGATCTCTCGATCTCTTTCTCGAAGGCTCCCGTGAGCTCTTTTAGATCAGTGACCGCCAGTGGCCCCCATCCACCGGTGGCACCCCTCCAATATCATCCAGTCACGTATCGGCAGGTCAACCAGCGTATCATACCCCAACATAACCCCGGCTGGCTGACACTTGCTCCCTCACCAGGAGCCCGCACCACACACTGTACGTGGTGCCTCCGCGCTGACCAGCGCTCACCCAAGCCCCGCTAGGGCTAGTACTACGCCCAGTAAGTGGGCTACACGTAATGCCAACACATTATCCGCCATGGCTTCGTAAGCCCGGCACCACACAGTGACAATCACAATCACTACATCACCCCCCCCCCCCCTCCGTAGCTTCCAGCCGTCCCGGCTGCCAACTCCCCCGCAAGTAAGCAACCGACGTACAATTTACAGAACAACAACAAATGTGCTCCAACAATAACAAACAATGCAATAAATTACCCAAATCCAACTGTACAATAGAAACACGCAGAGAGAAAGAGAAAAAAATGAACAACCCAACAATCACATCGTACAAGATCCCCACAATCAACATCTCCCACCCACAATGTGTAAAAACGCCTGTGAGCTCGATGGCGAGCAGGATCAGCCAAATACTCACCACGACATGCGAGCGCGACAACCCATGATGGTGTGGAAGTGTGCAATGCGCGGAGAGCGATAGTGTGGGGAGCGATAGTGTAGCGGTTAGCGCGCTGCGCTATGAACCTGGCGACCCGGGTTCGATTCCCGCTCATGGCCAACACCAGTGACGATTATCGGAACCAGTCCCGGGCCTCCCCTAGGTCGACTCAGCCTCAAATGAGTACCTGGTGCGGTGTGTAAACATTGCCACTAGGGAGACAAAGGCGGTCGGGCGTGGTGCTGGCCACCCACCCCTTCGTGTACCGTTCTGGCCTTCATAGGTGCTCTCTAACAGCACTTGCCCCTACAGTCTGTTAAGGCTATATGGGGGATCTTTGAATGCGCGGAGATCACGTGAATCGAGTCTTTGAACGAGTCCGTGACGCCGGTCCTCCAGACGGGTTGGGCTCGACCACCGTGGAAGGGCCAGAGGGAATAAGAAATCAACTCGATGAACCCGGCTCCTCACGAAAAGAAGTAGGCTGGGTCGTTGGGTCCTTCACGTCCAGAGCACACGAGGCCGACACGAGCGGCTGCGTGCGAGGCATCAATCGCGCGGCGCCTGGGGGTGGAACAGAAACACTCTCCTGAGGGGCCGCGTTGGCAGACGCACACCCCAGCTCGTCGGGCACACCCGCCACTCGGCCCCTGCAATATGGAGATGAAACAAACTCACACGGCATGATAAACAGCTTAAAACGAGAGGGGTGTACAAAGCAGCTCCACTTACCAAACTGTATCTGGACACACTGCGGCCGCACGACTCGAACCACATGAACCGGGCCCCTCCATGGTTGCAGCAATTTGAGAGATGTGCCCACTGGCACCTGCGGACAATGCAACCAGGCCCTGTCCCCCTGCGACCAATCACACAGGGAAATAAGGGCACCATTGTGGCTCTCGTTGGCCAACTGTTTGGCCCGAGAATTAACATTGGCAGCTTCCCGCGCCTCGGAAAGTTTGGCGAGTGTGACCCGAATTGAATCAGACATTTTGGACATGGGTTGTAATTGCACATCGATGGGAGAATCATACTCCCTCCCATACATCAAAAAGAAGGGAGAGTAGCCGGTGGACGCGTGAGGGGTCATCCTATAAGCGGCAAGAACCGCAGGAATATGCAAATCCCAATCGACCTGTGACTCACTGACCAAGTGACTCAACATGGAGGTCAGAGTCCAGTGTAAGCGTTCAACCATGCCATTCGTTTGCGGGTGGTACAGCGACGTGCGTACCTTTTTCATCCCCAGCAAATCGCACTCCTCACACAGCAGCTCGGACGAATTTTTGTTTGCCTTGATCCGTCAAGAGGCGCTCGGGGGCACCCTTATCCAAAACATAGCCATTGAGGAACGCCTCGGTAATAGTCACCGCTGATTGATTCGGGAGCGGCCAGGCCATAGGTGAGCATGAAAAATACTCAACGCCCACAAGCAACTACCTATTTCCATGCGCAGAAACAGGAAACGGCCCGAGAATATCGAGGGCACCAATTTCATTTACATGCGACACCTGGATGGATTCAAGCAGAGTGCAACAGGATCTCGCTGGCGGCTTCTGCCGGGCACATTGCACGCAGCCCTTAAGCAGATCCTCGACATTGGAGGCCATGGTCGGCCAATAGAAATCAAATTTTAGAGCGGCCAGCGTCTTTTGCACTCCAAGGTGCAACAACCGTTTATGCACAGCCCAAACAACCTTGCCACGCAGGGCAGTAGGGACAACAATAGCATAACGGTGCAATCCTCCATCCCAGTACATGAGCAGGCCGCCCCGCAGGATGAATGAGGTGACACCCCGTGGAGCCGTGCCATCGGTGGTCTCCCTGACACGCCGGCGCAACTTAAGGAGGGACGCGTCCTCC